ATTTATATAACTTTATTCTCTACCAACACCACAGTTGAGAAAAAAAAACATGAATAATAACTTAACTAAACAGCGATCTCTTCCAGGCAACCAAATGCGAAAAGAAAACATGAAAGTACTATAGGTAGGTGGTGCTAGTGAAGGACGTGAAAGAGACAAAAGAAAGAAACGAACAAGGGGTAAAAAAAGGATTAAGACCTTGAAAGACTATTTGCTGAGACTAAATATACAAATACAACGCAATATTTTAGCTCTTTTGGGTGTAAAGAGAATATCACTAGAACAACGTAGCTGGGCGTATAGATTTCCTATACCTACGTTTTTCTACGTTTTATTTTGATATTCATTAAAAAAACATTGGTTCAATAATATTTGAATAAACGATAACGATTTTTGTAAAAGGGAAAAATATTTCCCTTGAGCGAAAAGGTTTTAAGTTATATATCCAATACATATAATAGTTTTAAAAATTTCGATCTTTAAAAGGAAATCTACTTACCCTTTCGTAAAGTGAAACTCTTGGCTTTGTGACAATTGCCTTAACTTAAAAAACAGTTTCAATATAACTGTAATACATTTGAAAACTTTATTAATTTGTACATGAAGGCACTATGTAATTTAAAAATCGAAATTAAATTGAAAAAAAAATTCCGACTCGGGCAGGACTTCGGGCAGAACAACAACACGGAACGCTGACGGTGCCGGTTCAAGTCTTGCCTTAAATTTATTTTCGATTTTTAAATTGTAATACATTTCCCTAGTTTAAGAACTTACTGTATTTTTAGAGATATTCTAGTCGGTAACTATTCTATATTTTATATCACCCACACTATTGAAAAACGTATTAAATATATATAAAATATTTATAATTCATTATTAAGGTATAAAAGAAATCACGTTTTCCTTTGAGACCGATTCGAACCCAGGTCTCCAGTGCTTACTGCACGCTAAGGAGGCAGTCGAAGTATAAAAACAAATGGATATAATTAAGAATTTAATAAAAATGTAATTATGACTAATGTTGAGATATGGTCTCATAACCCGTAACAGTACCTATCTCATAAACAAATTTTTAGACGGGCTAACTGGTCTAGTAATGGTAGGATAGTGTAATGTATCAATAATCGAGGGTTCGATCCCGAACAGGTAATAAGAAACATATCGACTTCTTATTACTTTCTAAAACATATTGGACTTTGTCTGGAAATTTGTATAATTAAAACCATCTTTCACAGATAAAATAAGACGTGTTTAATCGCGTTTCGTTTGTTCGCTGTAAATTTCGGAATAACCAAAGCCAAAATAGGTTGACGAATCTTGTACAGATGTAATATACCTTATTAGTGAACATTATTGTCTGTCCTTCTCTATCATAAAAATATTAATCCAAAGTTCAATAGTTTTATTGTTATGATTTATGAGCTTAATCCAAATATATAATTCATTATCACGTTGCTTTCACGCAACATGAAGTACGTGACTCAATTCTCTATTTGACTGTTATTAAAAGAATTCCAATATAAAATTATAATCGAAACGTAACTACAATAGCTGTTTTTTATCAGACGGAACATATTATATATTTATAAGATACAAGCAGATTCGGTAAACGATGTTTTTCATATAAATTATATATAGAGAATGTTGTAGTAGAAAAAACTAAATAACATACTCTGATTGTATGAAGATATAGTGCAGACAAATATACTCCAATCTCAGACCTAAAGGCATGATTTAAAACTTCCCGCGGCTTCGTCCGCATGGAATAGTGACTTGAAGTATAGTTTTTAATTATTTAGGCTGTTTATTAATTCATGTAAGGCGCATTTAAGGCAGCCAATCTATGGTAAGTGCTACTTTGTCGCAACACTCTCACCTTACATTACTCTACTCTAACTTCCACTCTCATCCCAACACTCACTCCAAAAGCCAAAGAAGAAAGTTTCATTGTTCTAGCTTCAAAAACTACGAATTTCCATACAAACTTTCATCCCCTTTTTCAATCCCTATCAACCCTTTTTTGGCATAAAAGCCAAGCTTCTTTCTCAGGCTCTAAAATATATGTGTACCAAATTTCATTTAAATCAGTTCAGTAGTTTCGGAGTTAACGCGAAGGCAGAGTTACTTTCGCATTTATAATATTAGTATAATCGTGTCCCAATAAGAATATTAATAACTTAAATATTCGATGTTCGGCCGAATGTTGTAAAAGAAGCCGAATAGGCCGAATATCGAATATTCGTTGCAAATCTACTTTTAAATTTATTTTCAGCGTCAGCTTTGTTACTTTGCTCCTGCTCTTTGACAGCTAAATTTTATCATTCTTGATTCTGCATAAGTCCAAATAATAAATTAATTTACAAAATACTTTGGAAAGAGAATTTATTTCGTTGATACTGTAAGATAATCTAAGCCTTTATTGCTACCCTTCGGCATCATTAAAGCGGAAATCTATATTTATTACCGATTATAAAACGATAAGATTAATGTAAGTTTTTAACTTCTTACTTTTGTGCAAGGCTTTCAGTGGCAACTGACTACTTACAGTGTAATATTGCTTTATTTAGAAGTGCATTTTGAACAACATTACTTTGCGGAATAAAATTCAAGTAACAAGTGTTTTGCAGATTTTATTTAACCGAATGAATCGCCTGGAACGTTTGTTTTCAAATTTGGAATTCGATTTTTGTCTGTGTAAATATTTAAAATGTACAAGTGTGTATTTATTAGTTTGTGTTTGTGTGCTTTCACTGTTAAAGCACAAGTTCACATGCCAACTGCTATACCAAGAGACTCGTTCGACCAAGAATTATACAATTCTGTTATAAATATAACGAGATGCCGAGAAGAAGTGGACTATATGTTGCGGATGAATCAAACACTGTTTTTGAGATGTGGGTATACAATTTATAATATTTATTTCTTTAACGCTTATTGTCAGGTACCTCTAGTCACTAGAGGTCTAGTGTTATTCTAGTGTATTTGTTAAGCTTAATTACTAATAAGCTAAATTTCCTCTCAATGATACGTAAGATTCTCAAAGATAGACAGATATCAGAGGTAGCCAGGATAATATATGTCGATTAGATGAATTCATTTTCTTTATTAATTACTTAGTTTTTCTTGAAATTTGAAATTCTTTGACGACGTTTTACACGACGATAACGAGGTCGTCATAAAATGACCAGACAATGTCTTGATACTTTTTTTTATAATTCAACAGCTTTACCTTTCCCTAAGTTACTAAGTTTTTCCTCTCATATTTTTTATTTGTGGTCATTATAAATTACAAAGCTGTAATAAATAACATAAAAATAAATATTGTTAACAACGATATTGTCCTATTAATTGTTGGGAACGATCCTGATCCGACGCTTAAATATTATTGATGTATAAATTGTTACTATGAAGAACATGAGAGAATGAAGCCTTGAGAATTTTCGTGCAGAATTTTTCAGCGTCTCTTCGAAACGAAGTTATAGAAAAAGATTGAGTTTGATAGTAAATGTTTAAAGATGAGTATTTCTATATTTTACCATAGGTATCACTGTCGCTTTATATTGTCATATAGTTTTTTGTAATTTTTTTGCCCTTTTTATGCAGTACGAATTTCCTTATAATTACTTAGAAGCGAAGAAATAGCGGAAATGTCGTAAAAACGGGGAAAATTATTCATCTTTGTAGGTTTTCGATGCGTACGCTGCTGTTCAAGTTACACAAAAAATATATATGCGAGAATGGTTCTTCTTTCAATTATAAAATAAAATGTCTCTAAAGATGACGTTCGAATAACAATTTTGGATGCCCAAAATAAATATTCTACGCAGACAACGCAGCTGACTCAGCTAGTAGGGAATACGATTGATACTAAAGCAATACCATACTTGTTTGAAAACTTTAGTATTTTTTACATGCACATGAAGGCACTATATAATTTAAAAATCGAAAATAAATTGAATAAAAAAAAATCATTTTATTTTCGATTTTTAAAATAATACCATACTTATTTAATCTAACTCTTGTGTTGCGAACTGAGTTAGATATCTGCTTTCCAAGGAGGTTCAGTTTTACATCGATTGTAATCTTTTTTTTGCCATTTCAAGTGTTTACAAATGAGCATTTTTGAAAACGAGCAACAGTATGCCACAATTGACCCTTTTGTAGGGGAGGCCTGTTAAATATTTATTTTATTTTCAAGTCTTTGTTGTTATCGCGATTTTAAACATATTGGCACCGGTGGGAAACAAACCCACAACCCATTGATTATCAGCCATACATTGCTACTATTACACCAACGAGCCGTCAAAATAGCTTAACTAATTTGGCATGACATTGTAAATTTCTGTTTATATAGATAATGCAGTTATCTACGTATCTACTTGATATAGTTTCATATGGCGTACGTAATAAACAATAAATAAATTAATACACAAGCCTGTGACAAAATAAAGTTAAGAAATATTTTAAAGAAATGATTAACGTTGAAAATGCAAGTTAAGCGCAAACATATTTTTCAGGTTTGAACATCTTTACAGTGATCCAAGATCACCAATCAATTTCAAGCCCTAACTCGATTTTATTCTGTTTATTTTTAAATGTAGAAAATAGGTCAACAACCCATCTTGTTTACATGTTGGTTTCAAATGAAAACAATGCCTTCAGATTTATTCTGAGAAAGAGTAATAATAGAAGAATGAGAAAGACTTTAACAGAAAACCTATCTAGTTATGGTGGTCTTTTGATCGTACCATTGTGCTCTTTCAATCTCAACACTATGACATAATAGAACGAAATAACTGTGTTGTGCTAAATTTGATTATCATCGCAAGCGAAGTTCACTTGAAACATTCTTATTCATTATAATGTTTATTTCCGATAATTCGACGATTAGATTACGCATAATACTTTATAATTAATATTTTTCGTTGGATCCCCAGTTTGCTTCCTCGTTTGTTCCGCGTCTAACTGTACTATGAAAAATGTCTCTCTCTAAACGCAAAATGAGTACGAGTACTATCGTCGGTCTTGTATTGATACTTGTGCAAAATGTGAATTCGCAGTTGGGTGCTCCGGACACAATTCCGGATGTTTTCGATTTTGATTTGTACGAACGAGTTTTGGATCCGGAATTATGTCGATCCCAAGTAGAATATATGAAAACGGAAAATCAGCTTTTACTTCTTAAATGTAAGTAATATCTGTAATCGGTTTAAAAGTTACAGCTAAAGCAACTACGTTTTTAGGTTTGTTTCGTTTGCTATATCATAAATGTTTATGTGATAATAAATTTTTAAATTAACCTTAAAATTAACTACACTCATTTTGCTATGTTAAAGCAATTCTTCTCAAAAAGAAGCAAAAATTCCAACAACGGTCTCGTTGCCTCACCAGATCAAAGAGTTGCTAAATATCAATTTACAATATTTCTAAAAAATATTAGATTTGGTCTAGAAAACTTGCATATAATATGTAAGAATATCGACATTCCATCCGGGACAACAACAAATTAATAATATTTCTAAAACTTGTTATATTATAGACTTGTTCTAGAAAAAATGTATATATAATGGGCAGTAGGAATACCAACATTCGGGTCACAAACCGATGTCCAAAGATGAAAAGACGTAAAATATAAATTCGCGTCTATAGATTTTCTTATGATATTTTATAAGGATTAAGAATCTGAGAGAGCACGCTATAAGCTATGGCACGAATTAGTCTGATGCCTTCTATCATGAAACAATATTGGTCTATTATATATCATAAGTATATATATATATATATATGCTTCTTAATAAATGTATTGCTCTTAATCTGTTTCAGTCCAAGACGTCAGCTTCAAAATACCGACAGGTTTCCTATCCAACGTAAACACCAATGACTTCGGTGACTACTTCGGATGCTTAAATCTGAAATCGGATGATCAAACCCCTCAAATCAAGGGTAAATTCTGTTCAGTCCAGGTTCCCGTTAACCAAGAAATCAGATTGCCATTTATCGAAGGCTCTAACGGAGTTCTCAGTGGAGAACTCTTAGCTGATGAGTTAAGGAAGACCGGAAGAGATCCAGAGCTGGTGTTAAGGTCTGCAGGTCAGCGCGCAGATAATTCGTAAGTGTTACACAGATAGATTGTAACATGATAAAAACAACGGCAATAAGCTATTCGTGTCATCTTAATCGTATCTTCATTTATAATACGAGTATCAAAGTAATTAATACGATAGATATGATAAGCATACTTAAATTTTCTATACAAAATATTAACGTTGTATTTTTTAAATTTTTGTGATAGTTTGGAATGATTAGACAGGTATTGAAAATTTCTTTAATAATCATTATGAAAGTACTATTTTAAAAATTATTAACTGTCCTATACATAACAATTATTGACAATTCATATACATATAAATAATTTGATAAAATTTTGCCATTATCATAGTCGCAATGCCCTAAAATTTTTAATTAAAAACATGTGTTAGTACATTTAGTATTTTGTACAGTAACCAACTATTTTGTTTAAATTTTGTTATTTCAGTAATAGAAACACAACATCTTAAAAAAATGTTTTAAGTTAAAGATATAAACCTAGGGACAGTTTAAATAGTATCCTCAACGTAAAAATTGGAAAAAAACCCAAAATTTCTTAAAATATTTATGACAATTGTAAATGTTTATATGCCGTTTATATTTTGTTATATAAAAGTTGTAAATTAATAAACTGAATTTTCATTGGCAACAGTCAAAACCATAAAATTTATCATTAATATCAATCAGCGTCGTAAAAGGACTTAGTCTGTAGAAATTGTGTGGGGTTTTTCATTCTGAAATTAAAATAAGTTATATTCATAATTGGAATAACAGTTTTATATATATTTGATCTTAAATTATATTAAACTATCTTGGTCATTGTAAATATTAGCAAGTAATGAATAACTGACTGTTATCTTTCAATGACAATTTGTCAAACGTTAATGTTAATATATCGATCATAGTCAAACCTCAACGTTTCCGCATATCCCTTATTTATTAAACTAGCTGTGCCAGCGACTTTGTTCGTGTAGAAGGTATTTTGATTAGTCTTGATTAATTTGATCTGTATGAATAACTATTAGCTCTTACCCACGACGTCGTTTTCGTCCCGTCGTTCTTGCATTCTTAATCTTAATATTGACATATATTATCGCGATATTTTTACATAATTAAAAGAGTAATCCTTCTTTCATTCGTTTTTTTTTTATATATCTTGAACCGATTAATGAAGATCAATGTTTCCCCCCGTTTTTTTCAGATATCCCACTGTTTCTTTGCTCCTATTTGTCACAACTTTTCTTGATAAATGCTCTACTTTACTACTACTACAACACAAAATGTATTAATTCATACTGAGATAAGCGTGTTCAAACAAACGAACGCACTATTTAGCCTTATATTAGCATAGATTAAACTATATTCACAAATACTTATAGTTATTTTGCCCTTTCAGAAACTTGGGTTCAGTATTGGACAACCTGACCCTCAGATTAGGAATGTGTATGCCTCAAACTTGCACGACAGAGGAGTGGGTCACACGGCTTGTCAACTTCAATGTCAGTGTGTTCGGCTTCAAGTACGAAGAAGAATACTGCCGTCTGCCGAACGACAAACGTTGGGTCGCAGCGGATTATGTCGCTATGTGAGTCAAAATATTCATTAAATTAAAAACCAATTGAGCTACGGTGACAATTGACGGGCAGGACTGTAGGGCAATTTGGAGCAACAGTACGGAAGGCTGTGTTCAAGTCCTGCCCGTGTCGTAATTGATAATACCAACATATGACATATGATAGTTGTCAAACAAAATATTCATAGTTAATATTTTATCAGTAACATAAGATTATACTCTTTCTAAAAAAGCCACAACTAATAAATCTTTAAATTTCTATCACTACAAAAACTTGAACGGCGACTGAAATTGATTTTAATAAATAAATTATAATTTAAAACCATTTTGTCCTGGCGTAGTTCTCCTTTCTTCTACTTAGGCTTAAAACCACATGAAATAGAAGCTGAGAAAATCTACTTTTCATTAAAAAAATGTTTTAATTGCATCCAAATAAGAAAAAAACGATATCTTATTAACTTCGCGCGAGTAAAAATTGTCAAAATAAAATATTTTCAACGGATTGAAAGGCATTCTAGATGACTCATTTGAAAGATAAGCGATCAAAGAACTCAGGACTCAAAGTTTGATAAATACTAGACAGTACGTACCGACTGCTACATATCTTTTAAATGTAACAATATGTTGACGTAACGGCTTAAAACGCGAAATATATTTACAATTATTTGTGTATACGTCGATTCGAGCCGATGCCTTGCTGCAGCTAAATTAAAATGCTAAATTGTTTGAATAACATATTGGAGCAGGTGCAAGTCGAACCCACGACCCATTGATTACTATCCTATTAATGAACTCGTCAATTGATATTTGTGGCTTTTTAATTTGTATTTATCACTTATAATTATGTTGATATTATCAACCTTTTTTGAATTAAGGGATTTTATCTTTGTTTCAGTGTCGTGTTTTCCTTCATTGCAGTCCTCACAGTTCTAAGCACATGTTATGATCTCCACAGCACCTTTACTCTTAAAATAGGTAATTTAATTATTTTAATCATTAAAATTAAGTAAAATCCCGTTTTTCCTATGTGGACCATGGATAGGACATGGAGCGTTGATCAGAGTTTCGCCTGCCCCGGTGTAACTACCGTGTTTTTAACGGGGTTCGAATGCAGGACCTCTCGTGGCGGAAAATATGTTTTACCATGAATCAACAGAAGCGGCTAGAACCGCACTACTATCGAAATTTAAATTTATAAAGTGAAAACCTTCTTCACGTACAAGTGTCTGGTTTAAAAAGTATATATTTTCTCATAAAAATACTATGACCATACACGTGTTTGTAAATAAATACTGTCAGATAAGAGTTGTAATTTTTCTTCGCCTGTATAGCATTTACACAAAGATTTTTCGGTTTGCAACTGGGAATCTAAATTAGGACCTCACGCACGCACAACTAGACCGAACGTTCTTTAAGATTCAAACAAGCGATAGTATTATATTCAAATAAAAATTCAAAAGAATCGAAAATAATTACAAACACGTTTATTCGTTAAAATTTATCTAGCATAGAAGCACTTATTATGTAAGCAAATTGGACCGGCACGTGTAATGTTCAATTAGGAATTTTGTCTACATTATCTATTAATAATAATAATTCGTTTCACGATAGTGGAAAATCAATTTGTTAATAAATTCTATGAAATTCGTGATTTTGCCTATACCTTGTTATATACCGTTTATCGCAAATCAAAGTCTATGCTTTGAATATTTGCGTGACATTTGATCTTGATAGAATATATAAGTATATATAGGTATATGTAAGTGACTAAACATTCCTGGGTTCGAATCCTAGAGGGATCAGACAGGGCACAAAATATCACCTACGTATCTGTAACTTAAAACGAAAAGCGGAATCTGTGTCTGTTTTGTGATTCACTTTTAGGAAATCGTTATCTCTCGCATCATATATCTATATCATATATAAAACTTACGAGTTTGTTAGTTTGTATGTTTGAACGCGCTAATCTCAGGAACTGCGGGTTTGAATTAAAAGTTTCTTTTTGTGTTGGCTAGAGAATCGAGGAAGGCTATCAAACGCCCTGTGTGTAGTATTAGCAGATACAGCGAGAAATGTGAAAAAAATTGGGAACATTATTCATCGCTGCAAAAACGGTTCAAGATACCCAAAAAATATGTATAAATAATGATTCCACTTTAATTGATCTAAAAAAAGTCCGCGACGCCATACGGCTTAAGTTTATAAAGATGAAGGGGTTTATACGATATCGGATACCCAAAATAACGAATATGGCGAACGAAGTCGCTGTCACAGCTAGTTTATAAAAAAAGATTCTTGGTTTCACACCGCACTTTTTAGGAGTGTAAAACTTAATAACGGTCCATTATTTTTTTTTTCAGATCCGAAAAAAATCAGTCCCCTGTATAAATCCTTTTCTGTATACACGAATACCCGTCGGTTGGTGACGTTCGCCCCAAACCCTAACGCCCTGGACTGTCTGGATGGCCTCAGAGCAATTTCGATCATGTGGGTTATCCTTGGACACACTTTTTCCATGTATAACGTGTTTGCGAATCTTCTGGATGTTTTCGATGTAAGTATAATAATGTTAGTTGGCAAACTATACGAAAAATACGTATAGTTTGAAAAAGTGAAATCCCGTACATAAAGATAATATTTTGAAATTAAAAGAAATATCGAGAATATCTCTTTATTCTATCGATCGAAATTTAATGTTCAATGATTTAAATAAAACACTAACGGGTACTGGAAAGAATTCAAAACGTCAGACGTTTCGAATGCAATTTGTAGTTAAAATTTTCAAATAACTTTAACTAATATATATCACGTTTTAAACCGTTAAAGAGTTTGATTTAATTGTGTACTACTCGCCTAAACTAAAGACAGTAGGCTTAATGATTTTGCGTGACTGTTTTATCGTCACGCAAAATCATTAAATATAGTTATATACATAATATATATTATGTTGTTATACTTGTAGAAGAGTAGATAACTAACTTGATGCGCACGCACGTATTTTGATTTCCCGCGTAAATTCGCAAATTTATCAAATTATCCTTTTATTAATCACGCATCAATCACTCGTCTGGCGCGTGAAAATTTTAATGCAAGTAGATTATAGAATAAGCATTTTTTATAAATAACTTTGATTAGTTAGCATCGGTCTGTCGAAGCTTAGCTAAGTTCATCAAATGAAATATGTACTTTTGTATTATATTTTTAACTTTAACTGACCCGACGCTTGGATGTTTTACAACGGAATGTATTTTGCGTTTCATACCCTTTAATCTAGTTATATTTGATATTATGTGCTATTTGCGTAAACACAAAAAGGGTGTTTACGCAAAGCTAAGCTTCCAAATAATTTTTCAATCGTTTGGTTATTATTACCCTAATTAAATAAATACTTTAATCAAAGTATGTATAATTGGGCTTTGTCAAAAAAGCCTTTACAAAAGTTTATATTAAAAAAAAAACAAAAGTACTTTTGGGAAATTCGATAACGAAATAATGTGATAAGTGAGACACAAAGATAAAATGATAACAGCGATTCAATTAAATACTTTGATAGATTACCAAATATATTACACCAAATATATGTTTTGTAATAGCCTGAGAGCGTTTGTTACAATGTTATGACCCTAAAAAGTGTTTTATTTAAATGTAAGTCAACACTTCATTAGGCCAGAGCATGAATATTAGAAACCAAAAAAAATATTGGAATAGTAGAAAATTATGATAATAGTCACATGCATTTTTGGATTATGTTGCGAATGGAATTTTTAAATCATTAATTTTAAATGACCCAATAGTATTATATTTTATAGCTATCTGAAACATTCAAAAGACCCATATTAAATATCGAATTTTAGAAAGAATAAATATTTCAGTCATATTGTACTGGAGCATCACTGAAGTTCAGCCTTGTTAGTTCTATGAACAAGAAAAGTCAAGTCATTTTGTATTTTTTCCAGTTTAAATATTAGATTCGATTTTGTATGGGGCACAACGGACTGGCAATTTATTTCCCATAAATAAAACCCATCCAGTGTCTCCATCGTGGTTATGTAATTAATGAACTCTTTTTGCAGTTTCTAGTATCCAGAGGGGCCACCTTCATCCAGTCAGGTGTCTTTGCTGTGGACACGTTTCTGACAATGGCTGGCATTCTTCTTGTATATACTACTGTTGGAAAAATGACATCAAGTAAGATTATATGATATTTTATTTATGCGTTAAAAAGCTCTACATATATACAGATATGTGAGAACAGTAAAACTTCATCCGAATTAAAAATATCTACAAATGGTTTTCTATCTATTAACAATGGTGGTATTTCTGGTCTATGGATTTCTAACTACGAGACCTAATTGATCTGAAGTTTTTTTTTTCATTCTATATTTATTCCGTCAAAAATATATATAGTTAGAATCGCACGAGGCCGTTGATAGCTCTTACTTCGATTGACCATGTAGCTAAATTGGAAATCTGCCAATATAGAATTTTAATGTATATAATTAATACCTATTAAAATATTATTGTAATTTATAAAACAACATTTCTTCTTATTTCAGGGTCATTATTAAAAACTATTCATTTGTTCTACTTAAATCGAATCATGAGGCTGTTTCCACTGCTGGGTGCCATCGTACTTCTAGAAGCTTCTGTTTTTCATAGAGTAGCGGACGGACCTTACTGGTTGACAGTGGCCAGGAACGTTGAAAGATGCAGAAATTGGTGGTGGTCTACCTTGCTCTACGTCCAGAATTATGTGAACCCAAATGATATTGTGAGTATGGAATTATTGCGGTGGTATTAGTACCGTTAGACCAACTGATAGACCGTGGTTTGTATCCATCGTGAATCTAAGAAATTTTGTAATTCTTCTGAAAAGGTTGGACTTCGTCTGGAAATCTGAATATCAAATAGGTGGTAGGAATATTGAAGTTCCGCCCCGGTTACAACGATGACGATGAAGAAGCCGTGAAGTATAATTGCGTTTTGGTTTCTGTGGATTTCCTAATATCCAAAGCCAAAATAGTTGACGGAGCTTCTCGTTGAGATGTTATATGGCTGGAGAACTCCTCCCTTTATTCACTCTATGCTTGTTTGTCCTCCTCTAACATTAAAAAAATACAAGCGTACAAGAGAAATTATTACATTTGGGTTTGTTTAGGTAAAAATAGCTTATCAATAGATGCATTAAATACTGTCTGTAGTTTACGCGACTAGTACACATTGAAATAAAACACTTTAACGGTTTAAAACGCGATATATGTAAGTTAAACTGTGTCGACAGTCTCCCCGTGACCACGGCTGCTGCAAAACATCCGAAACATTGCGCCGTAGTTAAAAATAATTTTCAAATAAGTGATTTGATATATCTCGCGTTTTAAGCCGTTAAAGTGTTTTAATTAAGGGATGCATTTTTGAGATACGATCACAAAGATGAATGATGGTCAATAACATGTTTTAATTTGGTTATTTATAGTGTATTCAACATTCCTGGTACTTGGCCATAGACATGCAGCTTCACATAATATCCCCCCTTATACTAGTGTGGGTGTTCTCTGGCAAACGCAGTTACGCCTGGTCAGCCCTCATTGGGTCGATTCTGGCTTTTCTTGTGAGCGGCACAGTCTTTAATTTCTTCTTCAACCTGCCGTCGAGTAACGCAAGTATAGTGTAAGTTTACAAGTTTACGTAGAGTGTTTTAATATAAAGATATAATATTAGACGGGTTCGTTGGTGTATTGCTGGTCATACAGTAATCGTGGTCGTGGTTTCGATCCCTAACAAGTGCGATATGTTTCTTATTAATCTATTATATGTGGTAGGAATATCGATGGTTGGATGGTTCTATATATTCTGAAAATTATTTCACTACGAGTATTTGAGGAGCAATAATAAATTAATATTGAGCTTGTAGTGGTCTTTTACCGTTAATATCATCTAGTGATCGATGGTTAACACGATATAAATTTATGTAATATAATATATACTAATATATAAAGCTGAAAAGTTTGTTTGTTTGTTTGAACGAACGAATCTCAAGAACTACTGGTCCGTATTGAAAATTTATTTTTGTGTTAGGTAGAGCATTTATCGAGAAAGGCAACAAAACGAGGAAAATGACTCATATTATGAGTTTTCGACGCGTGCGCTGCTCCTTGCAGTTGCGGTTCAAGATACACAAAAAATAGTGTATAAAAGAATGATTCCTCTTTAAATTATCTAGAAAAAAAGTCCGCAACGCTAAAGATCTATCTTTTTAGATTAACTTGCAAACTTGCAAAGTTGAAGCTCAAAATAACTATTCTACGCAGACGAAGTCGCTGACACCGCTAGTATAATATACAACACGAATATTATATTATATTTTTTTATATTTCGTGTTGTAGGAACCGAAGATTTATCTTTACTGATAGTCGATCTCTGATATCCGCAGGATATTTTTTAGTAGATTACTAACGTCATATGATCACGTCAAATCGATATATTATGTTGATTAGCTTGAATCGCTTTCCGCTTTTAATTATGTTTGCGGTGATGATGTCAAATGTTCAATACAATAATATTATTGTATTGAATAACTTTAATTCTTCCGAAGGTTTAGTCAATAGAGCTACTTTTAATTTTTATAGGAACATTTAAAATGTCGGTTACGTGTTTACGACAACTTTCGTCCTCGTTACGAGACATTTTCTCATTTTTTTATTGTTGTTAGTTGTAATATATAGTATAATGTGACAGTTTGGTAAGAAGGTTACAATATTGATTTTTTGTCTTTTTCAGTCGCTTGGCGGAACAAGCCGATTACATGGATAAGTTCTACCAAAATACGTTAACAAGAGGGTCCCCGTTTTTGTTCGGAATGGCGATGGGGTACTTGTTGAATATAACTAAGGGAAAGAAAATAAAAATACACTTAGTAAGTTTATCTTTACTGGTTTTAAATAATCAAATTTTTATATACAGAGATCTAGAACGAAAAATTGACGACAAACAGATTAAGCCGTAAATAATATTATGTCTATTATTATTGTTTATTAAACGGGTAGCGCAGCAATAAGCACAAGAAGTCCTCGGTTCGAATTCAGGGGAAATAAAAATTAAATAAAACTCAGTAGGTTATACTTTCTATCAACAAGTTTCGCTGTGCACGCGACAAAAAATGATCTATAAATAATATAAGTAACTTGACTTACATTACTAAAGTGTTAGTAAGCATCTTCAATCTTTTCAACAATAAATATAGTCTTTGTTACCAGTATTAATGACGCTTATTTAATTTTTACAATACATAACAAACATATAAAGAAAATATGGATCTAACTTTTTATATTATTAGCGCAGCTTAAATACAGTCTGTAGATTACGCGAGTAGTACACATTTAAATAAAACGCTTAAGCGGTTTAAAACGCGATATGTATTAGTTAAAATTATTAGGAAATTATTCTAACTACGACCCGATGTTTAACTAATATACATATATCGCGTTTTAGACCGTTAGTGTTTTATTTGATTACTAGTGCCGATGTCTAAAAAATACATCTTTCAGGCGGTAGTACTAGCGGCGTGGGTAATAGCGATCGCTATGTTCGGAACAGTGTTTTACATAACATATGAAGTCCTACAATTGGACTGGAACAATCAACTCGCAGACAATTTGTACAACTCATTTGCGAGGCCGTTGTGGGCGATCGCTCTGTGTTGGCTCGTCTTCGCATGTGTCCACGGTTATGGAGGTGAGAATAAAAGATTATATAATAATTATATATAACGGTCAGCTCACATTGAGACGTGACAATGCTTGAAGAAGGCACTGGCGTTGCGTGTGCTTCGAAATTTGAAAATAAAACGTCTATCTTTTATTAAACATTTAAATATAACACTGTTAATGGTAACGCGAAATATATCGGTAAACAAAACTAAGAATTAGAAACATCGGGCCGTAGTTAAAATTAATAAAAAGTTTACTAATATATTTCACGATTTAAACTGGTTAGTTTATTTTATAAAGTCATTTGTAAAAACCGTTAAAAGTTAAGATTAACATGTTTTCAACATTTGGTTAACGACCCAGCGATTCATTTAGTAACCGTAGTGTAATTGAGTAAGTAAAAATAGTGTAATCGAATACTGTCTATAGTTTACGCGAGTAGTACACATCCAAATAAAACACTTTAACGGTTTAAAACGCGATATATTAGTTAAACTTATTTGAACATGATTTTTCAACTTCGGCCCGACGTTAAAAATCATTTTCAAATAAGTTTAACTAATATATCGCGTTTTAAACCGCTAAAGTGTTTTATTTAAAAGTTCTGTAATCGAGTAAGTAAAAGTAGTGTAATCGAGTAAATTGGTGAAATTTTAACTTAATGTTTGGTTATTTCAAATTAGCCTTGGATAAAGCTACGCTAAAACTGCGTTTTAGGTTTTAATGTCAATGTACAAAAATAAACATTGTCCTCATTTACAGGTCCAATCAATTGGTTCTTGTGCTTACAATTCTGGAAGATCCCAGCCCGTATATCTTATGCGATGTATCTCTTCCACTACTCCTTCATGTTTATTGCAGCGGGAGCACAACTTAGGCCTATATACTTCTCAGTAGCTCAATCGGTATGTATGTTTTTTTTAACGGATAGAAACAACGCATATCGCCTTGGACAAGACAGAGGTCCCGGATTCTAATGCAAATATTTTTTGTATTTATTATAAGAAGAAACAAAGAATATTTATTATAAAAAGAAACAAATAAATGAACATGTTTTAATTATATCTATAGTAATATTATAAATCGGAAAAATTTGTTTGTTTGATCGCGCTAATCTGAGGAACTACTAGTTCAATATATAAAAAAATATTATAAACCAACACACTTCGACCGATAGGAGCTAAATAAGAGCAAAGAAACTGTGGGAAATGTCTGTTCAGGATTTTTCTTGCATGAGCTGCGATAACGATTCAAAATATCAAAAAAATATGTTTAAATAAATAATAATCTAAAAATATGTCCGCGACAGTACATGTCTATCTTTTAATATTAACTTGCGAGAACGACCCGGGACTCGGACGACGACCTAGGTGTTATTTTACAAAGATGAGGAGGTGGTTTGCAAAAAACAATCATGATGCTCTAAGTTCTACGCGCTACTATTTTATTTTACACAGACGTCGCGAGCACAGCTGTTTTCTTTATACAGTCTTCTTGTATATTCAATGTATTTTTCTTTTTTCAGTTATTCGACTATCTCGCTCATTTGTTTTTGGCGACAATGGCAGCATTCGTAGTAACGGTGCTAATAGATGCGCCGTTTTCAACACTTACCAAACTATTGCTCGGCGGTGGTGAGTTAATTTATTTTTAAAACCTCTTTGATAAGATAAAAGTTTTATGAGAGGTGCATGTATCAAAAAAAATAAAAAAATATGTTTTAATTTTCTTTTTCAGGAGCGAAACGACCCAGACGGCCTCCTCCGCCAGTTGATAAAGTTGCCAACGATATTCAACAAGAGAACGGAAATACCAGAATATAATCTAACTTACTACTAGTATAAACACGCAATTGCTAAACACCAGATTAGGTATTTAAACTAAACATACCGAGCAGAACCAGAAACCATCAACGCACAAATAACTGTCAGAATTACTCCATATTGGAGCAGTTTGAACTACGACTCAATCTTAGGGTTATCAGCGTATTGTTTTTTGTTAATACGATGAACAGCCAGCTCTTACTACGGTGGTCCAAGTGACCTGGATATTTGGTTAGTTTTAGAAGCTAAGAAGGCTAAAACACTACTACATTTAAATAAGGCTATTAGTGGCTATTAGCGAATATTTAGTACTTAGTAAATGTTTGAATTAAACTCGTTCTACTAATACTAATATATTAAAGTCGTAAAAAGGGGGGAAATGGACAGTCAGGATTTTTGCTTTCTTACGTATGGCCTGCCAATATTCAATCAATAACTTTAATAAAGTGAAATTAAATTAGAAGCTTAACTTCGTCTGGCATTCCAAGTCAAAACAGTCTAACTTCGTTCGTCCTTTGATATCGCAAAGCCAGACTATATTTTAATGGAAATTGTTTAATGCGCATATATTCAAATAACCGTTAGAAATGTTAGAAATCGTGTTTGCCAAATTAAAACTAAGCTTTAACTGAACAAATAATAATTTTTACCTAGGCATAACATCAATATAGTATTTAGTATTTTATACTCGCTTGCTTCGTAGGACCAACCGTTTAATACCTAAATAGAGATTAATAAATTTTTATATCTTAAAAGAAGTGATAATGTGATTATAATATTATTTATTGTTAATCCGTTGTAAATTGATTAGGTTAACGATTGTGTATAGACGTTTATGTAATGTGTAAATATAAATAAGGTAATCTCAATAATGTAATAAACTAAACTTAGCTAACATAAAGAAATCCTAAATAAATGTATGAATTTTAAGATGGTTTTAATTTTTACTCGATTCAAACAAAAACCCAATTTCATTCATTTTATGAAGACTAGCCTTTGCCATAATTATAAAGCTTTAATCCGTTCAGCATACCTAAAGTTTGTAGTTAAATTAGCAATTATTTTCTTTATTAATCAATTTGTTAAAAAATGCGTGCTGTAGATAAATGTAGAAAAGCGCCATCTGTGTAACAAGTTTTGAACTTAAATAAGACATAAAACAAAAGCTTTGTACATATAATTCAAGATAGCGTGCAATTAACTTTTCATTTCGTCTATTTAGTTATTATAATAAATACTAGAGGGCACGTTTAGCAGGTTTAAAAATAAATTATTATAAACCTCGTTAAAAGGCTATCTCAACAAATATCAAATTATTATAGTCAATTTAAAATAAATATTAATTATTTTAAAGAACTGCAGTTAATGTAAAACTTTTTATTAATAATTCAGATGGAAATAGAAGTTATATATCTACGTTGATAAGATTTATTTTAGAATTTATCACTAATCAGTATTAACCATTTAATTATTATAAATGTAGTCATAATTTTAATATTTCTAAAGTTATACTCGTCTGTTGGACAACAAACCCTTTTATTAAAGGGCAAATAAATTGACTTTTGAATGTATCTAATATTGTCGTATGCGCAATTGACGTCGTGAATATTCACCCTCACAGGAATCAAGAAGCTAAATGTAGATTTCAAAAAGATAGTTGACTTACTCCGTACCCTACCAAACCTGTTAATTTATTTAGGAATTTGATACTTTATATAGACAGAACAAATAATACCTAGTATCTCACTAGCTACTTTGATAAATTGATTCCAGAACAGTCTTAGCCATTTTATTCATTATCTGATTTTATTTACAATCTCAATGAGTGTATTAGTTGGCGGTTTTGGGATCAGATAGTAATCAGATTGAAATTTTGAATCAATTAGATTTAAAAATATGCGGATGTATCGATTATTTGTTATTTTATGTAATATAATTCATTCCAATATTTCTAAATAAACAAATATAATGTTGCCAACTACGATACCTTTTATCTGTACTGAAACCCCAGTCACGCCCGTGACGTCACATCTGGTAATCATTGGTCAACGGTTGTCATACTCCGCGGCGTACAGTTTTGGCGGAATTTTAAAACAAACAATTAAAAAACACAGTTTTATGTTCCTAAATAAATTAAATTTAACATTATATTAATTTTTGACTATACATGAATACAATTTTGAATTTCATGAAATGAATATCAATTCAATTTATGATAAAAACAAATTTAAGCCCTTTTTGAAGATTCGGAAGATCGCATATTGTAATTAAAAATAAAATAGAAATCCTGACTGCATCAAAAATTAACAAGATAGAAATTACGAAATCACTAATTATAAAACTTGGTATATTAGAGATTTGTGAACTCTATGCTAGAGACATAGGTCTAACATTGAAAAAAAAATTGAGTCCCTAGGAAATCAGAATATATAGCTTTGAAGACAAGGCATTGGATCATGAAATTCATACACTTCTTTTTTTTTTCTTTGTTTCTTACGTTAATCATGATAATTGCTACTTTCTAATGACGAAATAAAGTAGAAAAACATTTTGTGGGTTATTTTCCAGACTGATTGATGATTATTACTAATTTTAATGACTATCATTTGATACCACCAATATCATATAATTGGATAGATACGACCAATTATCAAAACGGATGCTACATTACTTTTCAGGTTTTTAAAGATTTCTATTCATCTATACTAATTTCATAAATTTAGTTGATGAAATACTGTCTATAGTTTACGCGAATAGTTACACATTTATATAAAACACTTTAACGGTTTAAAACGCGATATATTTGTTAAACTTAATTGAAAATGATGCAAAGCAGCCGTGGTCACGGGGCGACAACGGCTGCTGCAAAGCATCCGAAACGTCGGGTCGAAGTTAAAAATCATTTTCTTAAAAACTACGTTGAACTATGATATATTCGCGTTTTAAACCGTTAAAGTGTTATATTAAGAAGTTGATGAAGATATGTTTTTACCTGACATATTAAGTATAAAGTAAATATTGATATGGTAACAACTAATTCATGAAAAACATATACAAATGGAAAAAAAAATATACACATAATAAGTTGAACACAGATGTATAATCTATACTAATATATTATTAAAAAGCTGTAGAGTTTGTTTGTTTGAACGCGCTAATCTCAGGAACTACAGTTTCGAATTGAATTGAATAACCCCCGCAAAAATTATTTTTGTGGTAATTGGAGCATTTATCGAGGAAGGTTATAGGCTATAAAACATCGCGCTGTGACTAATAAGAGTGAAGATGTAGCGGGAAATGTGAACAAAACGGGTGAAATTTTTCATCTCTGTGGGTTTCAGGTGAGTATGCTGCGAAAAGGGTTCAAGATACATAAAAAACGTGTACAAAAGAATGATTCCTCTATAAATGATCTAAAAAAAGCGACGCTATATATCTATCTTTTAAGGATAACTTGCAAGAGAAGAGACGCAATCGACGTCATGGCTAACGGCTTAAGTTTACATGGACGGGGTTTGCAAAAACTAATTTAGATGCCCAAAATAATGATTCTCGCGGACGAAGTCGCTGGCACAGCTAGCTATTTATAAAACTTATTCCACTCAAATAGGATAATCTTAATACGATAGAAATATTAAGATGGAGAAGACGTTAAAATGTATATACATGTCTCAAAAAGTGTTACTCTTGTCAGTTCACCCTTGCAAAATCTCTATGCGCTCCTACAGTTTTTAAATAACTTTTAGAGAATTTAATGAGTAAGCAAAGTCGTACTCCTGACTTTTATTCTTAACACAACAATAACCCTGATCCGATATAATGTTAAAAACGGCAAATCCCTACGTACCTGTAATCCTTTGAACCCAATCAATCCTAATATAAAAAGAGTCGGGTAGATTAAATAATAAAATGCATATAGTCCATACAGTCTGTCTTCGGCAGTGTTCGGCATCTTAAAGTTTGTGTTACAAACAACCAATTTTGCAACACAAACATGACTATTCGTCGTGTATTAGACTATGATCTCTAAGCGACAGTTACTTTTCCATTTCATAATTTTGCACTTTACCCAGATAAAACTCATCAGTATTTTCATTGCCGTATGATTCATAAAATCACGGCCCGTAGTCATTATTGTTAGAATTTTAATGATTAGAATTATCATTGATTTCATGTATTGATTAAATTTTCAGCCACCGGCGCACCGTTAATCTTTTTCGATATAATAACTTCTTACACATTATTTAGGCGAAAAATTCTTCCGTAGTTTATATAACTGTATGTTATTATGACATAGCCATAACGCATTTTGCTGTTAACAGTTTTACGATTACACTATTAGAATATTATTGTTCTAGCAAATAGAGAGTTATAAAATATTTTTATTAGCACGTACAATAAAATGGCTACCGTGAAACTAGGTAGGAAATGACAGATAGTTTTGAACTAGTCAAGTATTTACACTAGTATCTGTGTTTATTTCTCAAAGTGCTTCGTAATTTCAAGTGTCCTACAATTAGCGATCACTCTGTATAGTCCAGTTATCCGATTGATAAGGTTATCGAAGTTTGATGTAGTAATTCATAAATATTGTGCTCCAATTAATAAATCCGATTCAATCAGCAGAAATCACAACATGAAATCGTCCGCAATGGAGTTTTTGTATATTTTCTTAGTCTTTATAGTTTCTTTTGCGAGCGCAGCATTGAATTTGCAGGACTATCCACATCTTTATCCGTTTGATAGGGACTTACAAAAGAACGTTCTGGACCCCGAATTGTGTAAACGACAACTGGATTACATGTTAAATACGGACACTTTGCTTTTAATGAATTGTAAGTAAATTATGATGAAGTGATCAGTCAAAGTCAAAATTTGTAAGAGATTCCAACTAGTAAGGTTTCTTTTTGAATAGATCTCCTCTCTAGTATGTATTAGCTCAATCAGGTGACGATTGTAAATACGATGTTTACTTATTTCAAATTACCAACTTCATTATAATAAACTAGCATATAAGATACGCTGAGTCCAGGTTCCCATTTCACAGTTTTAACGTTTAATTTCGTTCAGTATCCTCACCCTCACCCTATAGCTTGGCTTTATTTAATTAGTAGTTCTAATTTATTGTTTTTTGACTTCCAGTCTTAGACGCAGGACCACGGATTCCAAAAGGTGTTCTAGGAGGGAATTTGAAGAGTACAGGTCACTTCTATGAATGTCTTGGTATCAGCAAGACTGTAGATGATATTAATATAGATGGAAAGTATTGTACAGTGAATGTACCGCTAGTCCAAAATTTTAACTTCTCTTCTGTCGATTGGCCGCCGAAATTACCATTTAATTTAGCAGCGCAATGGGTAGACTTCTACCGTAGCCTAGAGAATGAGGACTTCAGAGATTTCCTCAATGAAAACGAAGTGAGGAAATCGAATTTAAGAAAGTACCTGTCTTTTGCTCCGTACGTGGAAAAATTAACGGAAATGTAAGGATTTCATTAATTTTAGAATATAAATGTCTATACATAATCTAGTTGAAAATCTGTACGTGGTTTAAAAATCGAAAATAAATTGAAAAAAAATTTCGACTCGGGCAGGACTTGAACCGGCATCGTCAGCGTTCCGTGCTGTTGCTCTACCTATTGAGCTAGCGAGTCGAAAATTTTTTCATTTTATTTTCGATTTTTAAATTGTGTAGTGCCTTCATGTGCAATAACACGTAAAAAATAATCAAGTATTCAAATCTATACATGGTCTTATATCAAACTTAAGAATTGCTGATCAGACCGAAAATTAATGTTTGGCATCTATATACAAACTATGTTGGTAACAATGTAAATTATAAGTAAGAAAAATAACAACAACGATTGTTAATTTTACATCGATTTAAAATACATACACTACTTTATTGCAGCTCCAAAAGCGACAACAGTGTATTGGCGGCTTTGTCATTCCAGCTAGATTTGTGTATACCCAAAACTTGCACGGCTGGTGACGTCATAAACCATTTATTCAATATCAGTGCTCTCGGGTTCGAATATCGGGAAGGCTTGTGTCGTCTTCCGAATGACAAACATTGGGTGACTGCTGACTATCTAGCCATGTAAGTAATATATTATGATTATTAATTTTAAATAAAAAATCTCCTAAATTTCTTTCAAAGGAAACTTATTGTTATTATTGTGAATAAAAAAAGTACACCTGGCACGACACAAGGGATCTCAGCTTCGTTTTAATGTAGATGAAGAAATACCTTCAATATTCTTATTTTACTTAAAAAATATAATTCAATTTTATATCTACGCAATCAGCCTCTACTTGTAACAGAATTTAGATGGTCATTTAAACTTTTAATCAGCACAAAGTCTAGTCTGTTCGTAGCGATTAAATCTAATCAATAGACAAGATAAAATAACCCCAAAGATAACGTTACAGTGCCTTCTTTAAAATCTTGAAAGTCCAATGCACTTTTGAAGTGTTTTTAATGCAGCTAGACACCCAAATATTGGCCATATCAGATTATTTGATAAGAATACACGAGGTGCGTTGCTCGCCCGAAGTATAATTATATGTAGAAGAAAAAAGGATGTTAATATTTCTAGAATCGTTACAAAAATTAGTGTTTAGGAAAGTGTCTCGGAAATTAACGATAGCCAATAAAGTTAATGGTAACGTGTAATCAAACGTATATCCAAAATTAATAATTATATTTATGAGATAAATAATAAAAACATTGTTCTTTCAGATGTGTGTTCTCCCTTCTCGGTTTCATTGTTGTGGCCAGTACACTCTATGACCTGTACTTTCTATTTTATCTCAAGAAAAGTAAGTATTCCTTGCATATTATTAATAACAACTATGTATAAAGAATCTATTTTCTGTTGAATCATTGTGGATACAAATGTGTACCAGTCTTATTCATTATCATTAGCACTATGTACAAAAAGATCACACTGGCATTACTTTTTTTTTTATTATTTACTTATATGTCAGTTTCATCTTCAAAAAATATTATTAGTGTTAAGTTTGTATTTGATAAAATTGCAATTGTGTCTTCCGCTTATTTCCCCTCCGGCTTGTTATTAATTAGGAGGTTCTTGATAAAAAAAATAATGAAACAGACATTCAAATATTCTAAGTGGGATTAATCTTTACAAAGCTCCTCTAGTACAATTTTGTTTACACGTATAGTTTTTACTTTAAAGTCCTGCTAGATATGTTCTTCATACATTAAAACGATGTGATTCGTTTAAGGTTCATCTCAACCACATATACTACGGATATTCTCTGCTTACTCTAATCTCGGTGTATTATTGGACTTGTCGGCGAAACCTGGATCCTTACAATGCCTGGACGGGATCAGGGCCATTGCAATGCTCTGGGTTATCATTGGACATGTTTTTGTGTTCATACCCGTTGTCGGTTACAATTTCTTAGACATGCAAGAGGTAAGTCATCGTATATAATGTCATCATAGTATAATATAATACTATGAATCTCTACTATATCTTTCACATAATACTTGCTTCTAAAACTCTTTTATCTATAATACGGAATCTCTGGAAGTTTCTTTTGATTGATATCTAAAAAGCTATTCGTCGCCTGTAATCTAAACTTTTCCAAATCTTAATAGCATTCTCTCTTTCTTATTGTTACCTAGCAATACCTATCTATAGGTCATTTCCTTTGATTTTCCTACATGTCAGATTGCTTGGAAGAGATAGCTGTTAAGCGATAAGGTCGCGTTTTTCCTTTTCTTTATCTGTGTAAATGAAAGTCCTAAGCTTTTAATATTCTGCTCATAAGCAGTATATTAAAAGCTTAGAACTTAATTTCGAATTTTAAAATTTTACACAGTATACAAAAATAGATTTTCGCTCACATTTAATAAATTTCAATTTAATACGATAAGTAATAAATCCCATTAATTAATAAAAGAGAGATAAAACTTCAATAGTATTCGATGGCAATCGATCAAATGTATTTGTGAAATTTGATATTATTGTAATCACTACATACTCCAATTTCTAATTTATTAATTACTAATTTGTTGTATTCTACAATTTTTTTTACGCTTATTCACTTTTAAGCGTATAATGATTTGAGAATTAAACGGCGTCGGCGGTTCGTGGGTTCGATTCCTACCACGTCGAACATGTAAAAACCGATTTACTATTTTCTGAAAGAGACTTCGTTGCCAAAACTGATTGGAATGGGTAGTTAAAACATTAAAGTTCCGTCCATAAATGAAAAAGTGAAATTTTTGGCTTTAGACTGTAGATCTTTAAAACGCCAAAGCGAAAAATTTTGCTGTTATATATTATGTTAGTAATATAAATAAGGGAGGTGATTCCTTGGTAAGGAGAACTGGCAAGTGTGGGTTCGCTCAAAAATCAGAAACAATGTCGACCGATTTTGGCTTTTATTAGACCTTGGGTTGCATTTTTGAGGTGTTTCTTCACATGTGATTGCATATGATAGCACTATATACATTAAAAATTGACTATAAATAAAAAAAAACACTTCGGGCAGGTCTTGAACCGGCATACACAACACAAAAATATACGACGCGGTAGCTCAATTGGTTAGAGCACGCAATGCTGTAGATGTCGGTTCAAGTCCTGCCCGTGTCCAAATTTTTAATTTAGTTCTTACTTTTTGTTTTTAGTGGCAAACATCTACTAAATCTGTATGGATAACCGGTGCACCATTTACAGTTGATACCTTTTTCATGATCAGTGGTCTTCTTGTCGTTTACACCAGTATGGCCAAATATACGAGCAGTAAGTCATATTACTAATCGCAACTATTAAATAGAAATCCATAGAGTATGGTCCCCACGGTGGACATTTGAAACAGGACATTAATATCGTAATAGTACTTTGTATAATATTCCGTATTTAAAATTTTATCTCTCTAATATATTAGTTAATTACGAGGCGGCATCGAACTACACGTTATATTTTATCACCGTTAATTTTTTTTTAATCATATGTGTAGGTATATTCCCCGTTAACGTCATACTGTATAATTCTTTGACATTCTAAAAATACTTCTTTATCTTTCTTATTGGCTTCTATTCTAACTATTTCCTTAAAAATCGGCAAGTTGTTTACCCGAAGAACATTTATCTAATCATTTACTAAAATCCTAGAATTATGACATATAATTGTTTTTCCTTACGCTGATTTATCGTTATTAGATCGGCAATTTTTCAGTAAAATTTTCCGCCACGAAATAATCAAAACAATCGTACAATCTGGAAGGAATGATAATGTTAAGTATCTTTCAACGACACTTGTTATAAGTGTCTTAGTATTAAAACTAATATTTAAAAAAATATATAATATACATGTAACATCACTTTAAAATCGAATTTTGTAAAAATACTTTTCGATCAACATATCTTTAAGTAGATTTAATATATGATAAATATCAACATAGCCTAAGCACATAAAAATTAAATAACTCAATTGATTTAAACTCAATGTATAAGATAGATTTTAAGTGACGTTTATGATGTCTCCTTTAAATTTTAAAAAGTCTTTACATACAAGGAGTCCACAACGAGTGGTTACGAAGCCTTTGAAAACATCCTTTTCTGCTTATTTTTTTTCGAAATAGTAGGTACAATAAAAGATAATATAATCTTAACAAAACATTTTAACGGCTTTAAATTCGAAATTTATAATTTAACTTATTTGTAAGCCGTTATCGTTAATCGTTGTTTCATTTAAATATGCACTACTTAATTGAAAAATCTATTATGATTGGAAATAAATGACGACAATAGGTTGTTAAAAATAAAAATTCTCCTATTACTCGAGTTTTGAAGGTCAAGGCGATCAAACAAAGAATTTTTTTAAGTCTGTAGTTTACGTGAGTAGTACACATAAAAAAACACATTCTTTGGTTAATAACGCGAAATGTATTAGTTAATTTATTAATTTTAACTACGGCTCGACTTTTCAAAATTTTCAGCCTATAATTTTATTAATACAATTTTCATTGCTTTTCAGTGGGTCTCTTAAAGAATCTCCACGTATTTTATCTGAATAGATTACTTCGCATGTTTCCCTTGTTGGCATTGATGGTTCTCTTCGAGGCGTCACTGTACAACAGGATACTGGATGGAGAGTTTTGGCAGATAGCGGCAAACGGTGCCCATAGCTGCCGAGCTTTTTGGTGGTGTACCTTATTTCATGTCCAGAACTTCGTGGTGCCAGAGGGAAGTGTACGTATTGATTTTGTTTTGGAAGATTATCTTAGAAAAACTTCTTATTGTATCTGCTGGTTCACAATAATTAGGTTGAATATTGTCTGTAGTTTACGCTAGTTGTACACATTGAAATATAATACTTTAATGGCTTAAAACGCGATGTATTGTTAAACATATTTTAATTTATATTATATTTTTTTAACTAATATAAGTACATCGTGTTGTAAACCGTAGTGTTTTATTTAAATATTTGAAATACTTGAAAATTTAAATATTTTTCACATGTAATTTTAAATGATGGCACTATTTAGTTAAAAATCAATTATATATTGAAGAAATTTTTACGACACGGACAGGACTTGAACTGGCATCCGCAGCGTTGCTTGTTGTCTAACCAATTAAGCTACCGTGCCTCATCATCGTCAAATTTTTCCAACCTATTGTTACATATGATTAGAACAATACGTAAAAAAATATAATCGATTATTAATTTATTCAAAGCTTTTAAAGTTCTTTAATTACTGTCAGTAGTCACAGTGTTATTTACCAAGCTCTTCCAAAACAGCTCGACTGAATTTTTATAAAATCTTATATTCTTATATATACTCATATATAATACGTCTTAGAATCTATATAATTACTATCTATTTTTATACCCCTTACTGATAAGGGTTATAAAGATATTTTGTATTAAGCATTTAATAAAACGGGTCAAAAGCAAAAAGTTACGCGTCTAGGAGGGCGCACTATACACGGTTACATCTGATTGTAATTTATTAAAAAAAACTTTTTAAACTTATTTCTTTGGATGCTTTAAAATGAAAATAATGTTTTAATTGTAATAGTTTAATTAATATTGTTATTTTTTTTACTTTCAGTGTATCCCGGTCATGTGGTATTTGGCGATCGATGTTCAACTTCACATCTTATCACCCCTGGTCCTGTTCTGGGTACTCCAGGGCAACAAACGATCGTCTTGGGCAGCGCTTATAATCTCCTTCCTAGTGTCGATCACAATAGCCACAGTTTACATCTTCTTGGGCGATATACACCGCAATTATTTCACATACTATTATGTGAACATACTGACACGATCGCCGCCATTTTTCGTTGGAATGATCGTGGGCTATTTCTTGCGCGCTTACAGAAGTACAGAGTTCAAGATGTCTACGGTAAGTTTGAACTGAATAATGATATCACACAGGTGGACCTAGGTTTCCTAGTATAGATCCACCACTCAACCCAAAAGAAGGTTGGCGGACTTCAACAATTATCTCTGGGTTGTTAGTAGAAAATTTCTTTTGAAATTTTTGTTATTTTAAAAATTCGGCCGACCCAGGATGCGAACTCAGGGCCTTGTGATACACAGTCGAGGGTACCAATCACTATATCAACGAAACTTACCTATCTTATCCAACAATCTTAATAGGTAAATATAAAATTTACATTGAAAACTATATACCAAGTTATTATGTTTACATTTTCAAAACCCAAGAACAAAATTAAAAAAAATATAGAATATGAATTGTTAAAATATAATAAATTAAGAAGTACTTTTGTTTTAAGTTTTGAACTATACTAAACACTTTGTTTTCACTGTTAAAGATTCGCAGGGCCTGCAGTTACTTAAATATTTATTTTTGTGTATTTTATTTCAGCCTCTAAGCATATGCATAACGACTGCCTGTCTACCCACATTTTACCTCATAATGCACGTGAACTTCTTGAAAACGTCTGGCGATTGGGACAATACCACTTTGAGTCACATAGTCGATTCGTTTGCAAGATCCATTTGGGCTGCAGCTTTGGGATGGGTTGTGTTTATGTGTGTGAATGGATATGCAGGTTGGTAGCACTGAGTAACTAGCTTTACATACATAGGCACGAAGCAGACTACTACTACGTTCTATTAACAGTAAATTTTTGATCAAACTCAAATGCTCTACCCAGCCTAAGCAGTTTATAACCCACGATTTGAACTGACTATATCACTGTCAAATAAATAAGATTATAATCTACTTAAAATTAATTTCTATGGTTGTTATACATTTATAATTTATAATTTTTCTGCTAGATGCTGGATTACGTCTGGAAACCTGGATTTTAAATGGGTGATAGGAATATAGAAATACCGTCCGGGTCACGAATCACCATCAACAGGTGAAAAACCCGTGAAGCTTAATCGCCTTTCAATTTCAGTCTGTGGATTTAAGAATATCCTAAGCCGAAATAGGTCAACAGCACATCTTGTTTAGATGCTAACTCACCTACCAATTTACGATCTACTACTAACGATCTAACCTACCAACAAGAGAAACCCATGCCATGTCTTTATCCTTTAAAAAAAATTAAAACCGCTAAATAAGTTTCACATTTCAGTTCATTTGTTTTGGCCCAACGTTTCGGCTGCTAATTAAATCACATTTTAACGGGTTTGTTTAATGTTTACTGTTACAAAAGAAGAAAACTTATTTGAAAAGAAAAAAGCTAGCTTTTTAGTAGCTTCAGCTACCGTTTCTTAATATCTGTGCCCCTGATGGGGCCAGGGGATGGGGATTCACACTATATTATCATATTACAGGTCCAATCAACTGGTTCCTAAGTTTGCCGATGTGGAAGATACCAGCTCGTGTCTCTTACGCCATGTACGTTATACATTTTTCGGTGATCGTCGCATTTTTTGGTTCTATGGTGGATAGCATATTCTTCAGCGTTGGATACACGGTAATTAAGTTTTGTTATTACAATTACTATAAAGTATAGACAAAATATGAAATGAAACACTTTTAACGGTTTAAAATATGAAATAAATTAATTAACCTAATCTTTTTTTTACTACGACCCGGCGTTTGGATGCTTTACAGCAACCGTGGCCATAGCTGCTATATATTTTTAATTACTTTTAGTTTAATAGTATAAAGTATAATTTAAAGGACTCAAGGTTTATAAGACTTTTTAAAAATATATAGGGAAATGCTGTTTTTGACTAATTCATTTTAATTAATTCTCTATCACAAATTCTTAGATCAAATTCCTTTTATTATATTTTTCTTTGTTTGTTTGTTTTGTATAGCCTTCGTTATAGTTAAGAGCCCAAATAACCAATGCATCACTCAACTGAATCATACTTCGTGTTATATTTACGGCATTTACTAAGTAACAATTTTAAAATTAGAACATTTTCCTTAAATTTTAATTTCCGAAAGGTAAATACTAAAACTTATAGAACGATAAACAGGTTGTATATTCTTAATTTTAATGACATTTAACTAATTTGGCCTTTCTATTCCAGATCTTTCAAGTTCTTAGCACTCACAGTGATTACAGTTGTTCTGTCTATAGTACTTACTGCCCTCATAGACATCCCGTTTTCGATTATTGTCAAGATGGTATTAGATACAGGTATTTATTTTACTGTTTTATATAAGTCATCATTTATTTAAATCAATGTTAAATGTGCAAGCATCAATACGTTGAAAAACTTCGACAATGACGTGTAGGACACGGTAGCTCAATTGGTTAGAGCAACAGTACGAAACGCTGTGGTTGCCGGTTGAATTCCTGACCATGTCGTAATTTTTCATGTAGTAGGCAAATAGAAATTTCATATGGATATCCTTACAACGAGACCTCGATCTCAAACGTTACTGCTTATCTTGGCGTAACAGCAGTACTTATGTCATAAACTACATAAGCCGTTCAAACATTTCTATTTGCTAATTTTATACGATTTAAATATAACACAGGGATTAAGGTTGATGACTCGAGTATAATTACTTTAATTAAAGGCTGTAATTAAACAGCTGTTATATCATATCGGAAATTCAAAAATTTCAGGGAATTCCACACTCATTTAAATAAAATACTTTAACGCTATAAAACGCGATATATTTTAGCAACTGAGTCACGGGGAGACAGTCTTCCCGTGACCACGGCTGCTCCAAAGCATCCGAAACGTCGGGCCGTAGTTAAAAATAACTCTCAAAAAAGTTTAACTAAAATATATCGCGTTTTAAACCATTAAAGTGTTTTATTTAAATGTGTACTACTCGCATAAACCACAACGACAGTATTTAAATTCATACTCATTTTTATACTTACAATATTATAATATAATAATATTTTACGTTAAATATACCTTGACAGCTTCGTTAATGTCATGGTAAAAACGTATGGCTAATATTTAACGGGTCGTGGATTCGATCCCCAGCGATTCCAGCATGTTGATAATTAATTTGTAATCATTTTGAAACATGTTGGATTTCGTCTGGTAATCTGGTTTTTAAGTGGGTGGTAGTAATATCGAAATTGAGTCCGCGTTATGAATCACCGTCCATGGATTTCAATCTGTGGATTTACAAATGTCCTAAGCCAACTAAATAGAGATAGTCGACAGGGCATCTTGTGCCCCACTTGAACCCTATGCTGAACTGTCCACATTTGTCATAAAATTATATATGGCACTGTAATGATTTTCATTAATATTGTAATAATATATATTTTTCTTTAGTTACAGTAAAGACGCTCAAACCACAGCCTCTAGTTTGCCAAAATGGCAGATCTAAGTCCGATGGAGCTGATCTGAAAGGAAATATTAACATTGGATTCGTACGCGATGAAAATGGGAAAAGCTAAATTTAAAATGAAGCAAGAAGGATTTTATTTACGAAAACGTTTTAAGTATTGCGTTTTTTGAACGACTAGCCTTCGCTAGGTATACTATTTGTGTCCAAGAACCTTTTTTACGATTGTCAATTACTTGAACAAATGGGAAATCTTACCCTGTTTGCCACAACACAAATAAATGACAGTACGGATTATGATTTTAACTTCATATTTATAAAGATTACGTTTAATCTTGAAGATAGTCAAGGTGAAAACAAAAAAAAACACTGACGAAGGCTAGTTTAAAATTAGGTGGAACGTGGGGCATGGAGCAAACATATTACTGTGTCTGTTTCACTATTTACATGCAAGTAGTTAATCAGACTTCTGCACTCTGCCCGACCGAAACAATCTATCGTTTCCCCGGAATTCGAACCCAGGACCTCTCAAGCTTAACGCAACGCTAGGCAAAACATTTAACTATTTAGCTACAAATGAGTTTTAAATTAGGTTAGTTTAATTAGTATTGCACTGTTTTTATTATATTAATTAATTTGATCTGAGATAAAATTTTCTACGCCAAAACCCATATTTTAGAGTTTGAGCTTATATTGGAGAACTGTTTTATTATATTAAGTATGATTAAGTAAAATTATTTGTTAGTATGATAAAACATTCCGAATATTTTAGTTATTTATTATGTTATACATTATTGACACTATATTTTAATAAAAAAATATATGTTTGTATTAATTTTTTTTTTAAGTATGTGTGTTTACTTAGTATTTTTTATATTTAAGTTTAAACGAAGTAAAACATTGTAAGGGAATATATTAAAAAATATAAAATTAAGGTTGTTTAGTTTTAAATTTGTAACTGTACACTTGTACAGGTACATGTAGAATAAGCTATAAGAGTTAATTTGTTGGTCTAAAGGTTAAAAGCCCTAAAAGACGAAATTTCCCCCCGTTTCTTCCACTATTCTTTCGCTTATATAACATATGTTTATAGCGTATCTCCACGCCACGATGAATCTTTAATAAATCTTCAATACAAATTATTCAAATAAAACACTTTAATGGTTTATAACGGTATTTAGCGAAACTCGCCAGGTTCGCCAAATACCAACTACGACGGAACAGATGGTGATAGCGTGGCCGTTTTTACTATACCATCTGAAACACCCTCCATCTTTAGTCTCCCCGTGACCGTGGCTGCTGCAAAGCATCCGAAATGTTGAACCGTGGTTAATATAATTGCCAAATAAGTTTAGCTAACATACATTTTAAACCGTTTGAGTTAAAACTACAGACAGTATCAAAGCATTACTTAAAAAATAATATTAGTATAGTTTAAGACGGCTGTACAGCTTTTAAGCCAAGCGGTGTTGCAATATGTTTTCGAAAGCTATGTACAATACAAAAAATAATTTATCTTAGTCGAGACCAATATATTTATATCATTCAGATAATATTAAACGGATATATAACTAGTTGATCTATGAATAATTATTTTGATTATAGTTTTTAAATCTTATCAATTATTCCAAGTGGCCAAGTTCCTATCAATCGCGGTGATTATAATTAGTTTTCTTAATATTAACTATGGCCTAATAGACATTCCATTTTCAATGATTACCAAGATTTTATTAGATAAAGATTTATATATTTTGGTACAGATTTTTTAAGGTACAGTTAACTAAGTGTCACAGAGGTTTTGGTAGAAATATATTGCAGCTATAGAACCAACTTAACTGCACATCACGAGGGTTCGATTCGGATCCGATCGGGCTAAATATCGTTTCAATATTTGGAATTTATTCTAAGAATATTTCTAGTTTCACGACCTCGATGGTCTAAATGGTTTCTAAGTAATTCATAATTTTTCTGAAACATGTTGTACTGTATTTTGATTGAAAACGTGGACATGGGTGGTAGGAATACCAAAAATTCCGTCCGGGCCACGAACCACCGTCTTCGCGATATACAAGCCGTTAAGCTGTTGTGTTTCTGCTTCAGTCTGTGGATTACCGAATATCAAAGCGACAATTGGTCGACAGCGCAACTCGTTGCGATGTTACATAGCTGAAGTATATCACCTTTCATCAAGTGAGTCCCCTGCTTGCTTCTTAAGCCTCCCCCAAAGACTTCCAGAACAATCGGTCGTTCGCTATTTTAACTATGGTTTTCCAGCTATTTTTACCAGCTGGTTTTTCCTCCTGGTAGGCGTTCATTCACGTTCTCAACGTCCACCGATGGTCTCCACTTTAGTACATTTTCACCCCCCGGGCCGTCTTTGTATCTAATGATTAAACGTGTTGCCTAGTAATGCCTTAAGCGCGATAGTACCCAGGGAAAACACCGGATTGTTTTGGTCCAGTAGGCCACTGGAGTCTGACCAACTACTTGCCTATAAATAAAACCAACCAATGTTTCACACAGACAGAGAGATGTTTTCGAGCCCATTCCCCACGGAGATGAATGGGATTCCACTTTTAACAACTTTTGCCTCAACCGCGTTTCATTGGGAACCGCGGTTGAGCACAGAGCCAAAATAGGACCACAGCCCTTCCGTTAATATGTTCTTTTAATATCACGGTTACATTATCTTACAGCATTGGAGACAATGTCTTTTCCTGAACAAATAAAAATATCCTTACAGCGCGACCTCGTCAATAGATCATAAAATCTCACATGCTGCTTCTGCTTATCTTGGCGTAATAGCAGTGATATTGTCATAAATTGCTTTAAGCCGTGTAAACACTGCTATTTGCTAATTTAATGCGATTTAAATATAACAGGGATTAAGGTTAACGACTCGAAAATAAATATTTCAAATAAAGGTTGAAATTTCTTAGCCGTTCAAGCACCTCGCGAATTCAAAAATATCTGAGTTTTTGTCTTATGTGCTTATCTATCTACTGTTGCTTGTAGACATTTATTTGCCTTATATAAACAAAAGTTGGATTTTTCAAAAGTTGGTTATCAGTTAAATTCTTATATAATATGCTTTTTTTATGATTGTTTGATTATAACCCCACGTTTATGGACTTGGCAACATCTACAATCCAATATTGTAGATGTTTCCAAGTTGGTGCCATTAAAAAAAAAGGATGTGAGAAGCAGCTTGTAAGTCCAAGATAGATCTGTATCGGCGTAGCTTAATATTAAGAAAACTAAAATCCCTGCAGAGCAACAGCACGGAACGCTGACGATGCCGGTTCAAGTCCTGCCCGAGTCGAAAATTTTTTTCAATTTATTTTCGATTTTTAAATTAAATAGTGCCTTCATGTGCAATAACATGTAAAAATTAATAAAGTTTTCAAACTAAAATCCCATTTCTTTCATCCCAAGAATTAACTACCCGTTGGTCTAGTGGTTGTATTCTCGGCTTGTACGTTTGACCTCTGAGCCAGGAATCTCAATTAATTACAGCAATTAAATACTAACGACAGTCATAACTCACATTCGCTTTTGTTACTTTTGAGTTCAATGTTTGCGACTAGAAATTTATCACAATTATTTCAAAACAATAAATTAAAACTGATTGTGCGCGTACGCAGAAATATGTGACACATAATTTAGCCGATAGATGCGATATACAATTTATATATTATATGTGGTGATTGTACACTGTTCGTCCTACATTTGCGCTTATAATTATTTATTTGATCATTTATTTTAATCATGGTTCTACCGCTTCCATACTAAGATGCTGTAAAATATAAAATAAAGTGATATCCCGTCAACGTGGGCCATGGGGCGAACAAAAATGTTTCACATTTTTGTTCGCCCCATTTACATACAACAAAAATGTTTCACATTTTTGTTGTATGTGTATTACTTATGTAATATGTGTGGTTTTATTTATCGGCAAGTATCTCATGAACATCAGACTGTCCCTTACCCAACCGAAATAAACTCTCCCGTGTATTCGAATCTAGGATCTGTCGAATTTAATTCAATGGTATGCAAAATGTTTGACCATTTAGCTACAGAGAACGTAAAATATATATGTAATAATTACTGTCAGTAGTTTACGCGAGTGGTATACATTTAAATAAAACACTTTAATGGTTTAAAATGCGATATATTTTTGATTAAACTTATTTGAAAATTATTTTCTACTACGGCCCGACGTTGAGGTTGCTTTGCAGCAGCCGTGGTCACGGGGAGGTCACAGTAAAAAACTTCTACGCTAAAGCTATCTGTACCGTCGAAGTTGGTATTTGGCGAACGGTACGCTATTCGTCGGTACGCGACAAAACAAATTTGGATGCCCAAAAGAACGATTCTCGCGATCGAAGTCGCTGACACGGCTAGTTTATTTATAAAATGTCAATTGCATCTGCTATTAAGAATAGAAAAGTCCAGTCTTAGTCCTCATCATAAATATTTCGTTTTATTTTATGTGGCTTGTATAAAATCAAATTCTTCTTCTTGATTGTAAGCTTTATCTGAGAAAGTTTAAAGTCTTTATATTCGCTTCTTTCACCGCCTCGTGTTAAAAGCTCCGTAAATATTGCAGATCTATTTCAGTATGTTTACAAAGATTTGGTTTTGAATTTTTAAAGTTTCTTAACCTGTAATCGCGGTTCACTTTCACGCGACCGACTCGCGACGGTCGTCGACTTATCTAATTCTGTGAATCATAAAAATGTACTCGCAGACTTTGAAAGGTCCTTCTGTTATTTTATTACTAGACGTAAAATTTATTTACTTTAAAATAATGACGTGAAAATCTTAATTATTTTTTAATATGGGATTATGGATATAAAAACGTTTATTTTAAAAGACTATTCTCACGTTGTGTGATGTTTTATGTAAAATACCATAGTGTTAAAGGTTATTATTAAGTGAGTATTCATTATTTAGGAAAATAAGGAGAAATAAACCTTTGAAAACTTTATTATTTTTTACGTTATTGCACCTGAAGGCACTATATAATTTAAAAACCGAAAATAAATTCAAAACATTTTCGATTCGGGCAGGACTTGAACCGGCATCGTCAGCGTTCCATGCTGTTGCTCCACCAATTGAGCTACCGAGTCCTCAAGAAAGAATAAAGAGAAGAAATAAACCTCTTTTCCATTGTAATACCTCGATGACACAGGTGGGACTTGTACTGGCAAAGCTGCTGTTTTAACTTATTAATTTATAAGAGCGTGTGAATTTCTTAAAGTTAAAATCAAATCTTATAAAAAATACGTTATTAAGGTGTGACGAAAATTTGTCATACAACAATACAAAATAGTCTTAAATTTTGCACATTGTGACATATAATATATTAAAATGCGAGACTAGCAGGCGCGCCAAGAATCACGTAAAAAGTTACGTACAAGCCAAAAATTTCAAATTCTTCTTAAATTACCAATAAAGTAATATGTAGATGAACACAGTACAGAGACCTAAAATTTTGGATTGTCTTGTTTCATAAGTTAACTAATTCATTTCGCGTTTTGAACTGTTAAAAATGATTTATTAAAAAAAAACATATGAAAAGTGAAGTTTGCGTTTCAATGGATTCTGGTAAATTTATGAGGAGTTGCTATAAACCACATACCTTCGACATACTAAAGGACACATAGTAAATATCATTATTTTAATTATATAAACATCCAATAGAAATGGAGATTATTAATGTAAGGATGCGTAATCTCTTTTTATTACTATTTGCATAATTCAAACAACCATATACTTTATAACTGCTATTAATGAAATAAATACAATTGTGTACACACACCTTAATGTCAGATTCATTGAAAACATTTAACTTCTTAAAACACCGCTGCGCAGACTCATTCTCAAAATGTCTCTTACAACGAATATGTCGCGGTTTTCTGCTAATGTTTAAAATCGCGTGTTGAAAATAAAAATTGTTTAAAACTATTAAGTTTAAGTGTATTATTTTAGCGGAAAGTGTAGAATAAATGTTGTGCAAATGAAGTTCTATGGCCTATTTGGTGAAGGGAGTAGAGTGAATCAGTTTATATGTGCTTTTTTGAGTAAGTTATTGTTTTTTTTTGTACCAAAAAATTAAAGTGTGATAACGTTTAGAAGCTCTATTAGGTAAAATGTAGTTTAAGCACAATAAAAATTAATAAAAATCTGTAACAAAGTTACTAGTTGCTTTTACTAAATGGTATGAACTTTCATATGATAATTGTTTACATATTACCCACATGAAAAAATGGTTAGTGTCGTTTTTAATTCGATTTAGTTGTGCCTCTAAGGAGTAATGTGAGAGCACCTAGGTGCCTACGTACTTAGGTATTTCCCGGAAATAAAAGTAATAGCTGCAACGTAACGCTACGAATCGACGGGTCGTGGGTGCAATCCCCAATTTAATGAATTTATTTTATTAAACATGTTTGAATTCGTCTGGAAATCTGGATATTGAATATGTGGCGGGAATATCAAAAAATCCGGAAACATTGTCTATAGATTACAAAAGCCGTGAAGTTTAATCGCGTCTGTGAGTTTCCCAATATCTAATGTCAAAACCGTATTTGTTGAGAATCTTGTCATCGTAAAAAAATTGAACAGACACAAAAAATAGTGTCCCGATAGAAGGGGAATTAATAATTTTTTATGAATGTTAAACTGTATTTAATATCGTATGGATATTGGACGAATTATTAACATAGATGTTTCAGTAAACGGTACATTGTTTTGCGTTCAATTCGCTGACATATTAATAAGGACGATGCCCGATCTAATGAAATGTAATGAATTTCCAAGGACTCCAATTGGTTGTAACATTATCTTCAGAAATGATTCCAATAGTAATTTCAAAGATAAAGGAAGGTATTCATCAAACAAATCTTATTGTCCTAAAACCTATTTTAATGATAAACCGATATGTTATACTAAAACTTAAGCATCGGGGACTTTAAATTATACTTAAGAAATACAATCGACTAATACAATTTGTATATTTAACGATTGTCTTGGATTTGATTTGTGTCATTCAAACTATAGTTAAGACAAAAAAATTATGTCTACATCTAGTCTTTTATTGATTGTGAAGTTGGTGAGAAAAATAATAAAAGTGTAATCTTGTTTCCCCTTGTGGGGCATGGGGCGAACACGTCTCTGAGTTCGTTTCAAATATAAGGCGATTAGTAATGGACTTCGTGCCAAACAAATCAAAATTTGTTTACGGATCCAAACCTCTTGTATTATCGTAGAAATTTACATTTAGCTATAGCGGAGCTCAGTGTTCACATATTTTTAAAATAAAACATAATTATTGTTATTTATTGAATTAATACCGAACAATTCTGCTTTTGTGGAAGAGTTATTTAATGTCATGTTGTATTGAAGAGTGCTAGATTGCTTAAGATCCGAATCTCCTAATACTTATCAAATTAAAATGATATGAAATGTTACATGACAAAAATCTAGCTCTAAACGACGTGCAATACTGTCATTAATAAAATATGTAATACATATTTATATAAAACACTTTTGACGATTTAAAACACGAAATATATTAGTCAACGAGTTGATGGCAACTTCCATCTTAAGAGCCCCGTAACCATGGCTGCTGCAAAGCATAAGTAATGTCGAGCCCCAGTTACAATACATTAGGAATAAACAAACTACTATACTTCCCGTTTTAAACCGTTAAAAGTGTTTCAATTGAGTACTACTCGCGAAAACGATAGACGATACTTAATGCACTTTTCTAGCCGACGAAAATGTCTTTGCCGTGTGATTTATATACTGTTCAAATAAATTAGTAATTAATATATTTTTTACAGTAAATGTACCGGTATTCGCCTACGGGGCAAGTATAGGATGGATGTCACCCATGACTTTGCTCTTGCAGTCAGATAAGTCACCAAGAGGAACGCCACTTACTGACCTGGAAGTAAGGAATAATAAAACCAGATAGTATATTATGATTATAAGACTTTACAAAGCTTAATATAACACTTACATTACACATACTCAAATAAAATACCAAACTTTATGTAGAATACTCGCAAAAGGTGCATATTTTTGTGCTTATCTCAAAATTATATAAATTCGAAATAAAACATTTTAACTGTTTAAAACGCGATATATATTAGTTGAATTTATTTGGAAATGATTTTAACTACGGTCCGACGTTTCGGATGCTTTGCAGCAGCAATTTAAAACAATCTCCAAATAAGTTTAACCAATATATCGCGTTTTAAACCGTTAAAGTGTGTTATTTAAATGTTTACTAGTCGCGTAAACTATTGACAGTATTTAATGTTAAAAATGTTTTTCGTTTTTCAGGTGTCTTATATGGCGTCCATAGCTTACCTTGTTTGCATTCCAGGCGACTTTATTATGGCATATATTGGTGATTGGATTGGAAGGAAAAGGACTCTTATGTTAATTTCTGCTTCTTGTGCCGTAAGTATAATGATTAAAGAATATTCATTTATAATTCACACAAAAAAACTTAAATTTCTAAAACAATGTCAAATATGAAACATTATCTTCAGAAATGATTGATGTATAAAATATTTGTAATTTCATACTGTTTTTCGAAGACAAGTTACAATATTTATAGTGATCGCGAACTACTATACCTAGACATAATATAATTTGGTCTGAGAATCAGCTACTAATTCAAAAACAACGGTTGTTTGCAGCTAGTCTAATCTTAAATCTATTTAAACTACCAAAAATCTACTAAGAAACGAAAGATCCAACGATGCTCGTTTGTTTGGCCTGTTGACATAATATTTACGTGAATGAACTGTTCGCTTGTCTCTCCCAACCCACTCGTTGGCCTACGTTAATTTCTTACGCGTTCAACTAATCTATTTTCGTTCGACAATGCTATGCCAAGAAATCTGCTTGTACACTGTTTACATGTACGTATTTGTCAACTTTATTGGAGTTCAAGGATTACATTACACATATCAAAACAATGTGATTCTGATTAATTATCGTGGTACAGTAGTTTGTTGTAGTGGAACGTGTAAACACGATTACTAATAAATGTTTATACAGTTTTCGGAACTTACATACCCTTTGCAAGTTTAAAAAAAACATTGTTTGTAGTTTACGGGAATAGAAGTCGTTAATAAACGTTTTACAAATGGTTTGGAAACGTCGGTTTTTAAAAATGATAAATCGGAATTTGAACGGCTGTGTGTTGTGTGATCAGTGCCATTAAGCTACCGTCTCACATTGATATTGAGTTTTAAAAATAAGTTGACTACAATATTTATCGGTTTACTGTTGAAAGAGTTTTATTAAGGTATGTAATATGTGATTTCGGTAAATACGTATTTAAATAAGAAACTTTTAACGCTTTGAAACGCGAAATATATTAGTTGAATAAGGTTTAATTTATTTATTATTTTATTTAACTTCTTTTACATTATAATTTCAACTACGGCCCGACGTTTCGAATACTTAGGAGTAATGCCGACCCCCGTGACCACGTATTCAAAAATAAGTTAAATAATATATTTCGGGTTTTAAAACGTTGCGGGAATTTAAAGTTTTTCAGTTAAAATTATTTTTTATAATGAATACATATATTTTTTTTTTCATCCAGCATCGAATGAAGCCGGTCGTTTAAAGTGGTTTTTGATGTTTTAAATTATTTATAGTCATGGTATGTTATAATAGTCTATTTCAAAGACACGCATTGTAGATCACTGTGTTGTGTATGCGCATCCTATTAACCTAGGGGAGCAATACGCTGTTTCGGTCGGGCAGGGCATAGAAGGCCATTTATTCGCTGGTGACATAGGTCACACTTTGCTACACCGGGAGGAATAAATCTTCATTTGTTTCATTAGTATCACGAAGTAAAAATCTCTTTATTTCAGGCTACATGGATTATGCTTCTGTTTTCCATGGAAGTATGGGCACTGATTCTGGCACGTGCCCTTGTGGGTATTGCCATGGCAGGCTGCTACGTCACGTGCCCCATTTATATCAAGGAGATCAGTGATGACAGTATACGGGGAGCTTTAGGATGCTTGGTAAGCTATCGGAGTACACATATATTATAAAGCTTATAAGGCTGAAGAGTTTGTTTGTTTGAACACATCAATCATACAAACTACTGGATCGAATTGAAGAATGGTTTTGTCTTGGTTGGAGCATGTATCGGGGCCATGTGCTGTAAAACATTGAGATTTGACTAATAGGAGCGAAGTAAAAAGTGTGCTGCATAATGCTTCAAGATACCAAAAAAAATTGTGTGCAAGAATAATTCCTCTTTTAATGATTTGAAAAATTCCACGACAATAAGATTAACTTGCACGAACCATGTCGTGGCTAACAACGACCTTCGGCTTAGGGCTTTATTAAATAAAATAATAACAATATACCGATTTCGTCATATTGTTATTATTATTATTAGCCCAACGTGTTTGGAAGGTGTTTGGAATTAAATGTGTTTGGGGAAAAGGCCTAACACGCTGCACGAGTAGAATGATTGGCAAGCAGCCCAAAACAGCGTGATTTTTAAACTCTTTTTTTTGCATTATATCTCACACAGTGAGCCTCAGAAAAATCTAAGCAAAAAAAATGATATAAGCTAAATAAATTGTATAATTAATACAATTAATATTATAATAAAAGTAAAGGAAAGAAGATACCAGACATTCCCCCCATGCCTTACGCTGCACTTCAACCGATATATACAAAAGAAGTTAAACAGAAAGGAGGTTTTTAGGAGGTTAATCATATTACTCTATAGTTTGACGTTCAGAACAAGAACAGCGTATAGTTGTAACGACATATACTCCAGGAAATGTATTATGCTATCTGTTCGTATGTTATTTCAGATCGTGTTATCGCACACAACTGGCAACCTATTTCTCTACGTCATAGGAGATATATTAAGTTATCGAACTATATTGTGGACCTGTTTGTCAATACCAGCATTTCACCTGGTGCTCTTCATGATGATGCCAGAAACACCATCGTATTTAGTCAAACGGGGGAGGACTGAGGTGGGTTGCTTTTACCTTCAACATAGTCCGATGAAAGGGGATATTCGTGACGTCTCGGCTCATAATATTGTCTTTATTTCAGGAAGCAATACGCGTTGTAGCTTGGTTGCGTTGTAGAAATATAACAGACTCTTCTGTCACATCCGAAGTTCAATTACTACAGAAGGAGCAGAAGAATGACGAGGGAAGCAATAAGTTCTTACTGAAAGCTATCTGTAAGTAAATACATGTTAATTTATCCCAAACGGACGTTAAAGATTTAATACAGTAATTTTCAATTTTAAAACTATTAAAGCAATTATACTAATAGTATAAATCTGAAATGTTTGTTTGTTTGAACGCGATTATTTTAAGAATTGAAAAAGTGTTGATTGGACCATTTATCAAGGAAAGCTTAAGGCTGTAAAACATCAGGCTACGAGCAATAAAAGCAAAAAAACAGAGGGAAATGTGGAAACAACGAGGAAAATTATTTATCTTTGAGGGGTACAGTTACGTGCGCTGCGAAAACGGGTTAAGACTTTTTTTTTATAATGTAAAAAATATGTCCACGACAGTATATATCTATATTTTAAGATAAACTCACAAGGACCGTTTTATGGTAACCAAATTTAGTTGAAATACTTCAAATGGGAAAAGCACGTTTGCCAGGTCAACTAGTTTATAAAGGAGAATTTTTTTGTTTCAGTCAAAGACCGAACACTTTCTCGCGCATTTCGCCTCGCCATGGTAGTCACCCTAGCAAGAGAAGTCTGCGGGGCAGTACCAGTCATGAATTTTGCGGGGGAAATATTCGCCATAGCTTCTAAGGAAAATGGTCTCGTACTAAGTCCAAATCAGCAAGCCATGCTACTTGGCGCAGTGCAGGTAGCTGGCTCGGCTTTAGCTTCTAGTATTATCGAGAAAGCTGGAAGAAAGGTAATTTAAACTTTATTTTCATGTCACATGTATAATATAGGAATTAAAAAGTAGTTTTAGTAGTCTGTAATAATAATATTATTGACAAAGAGGAGAAATGTAAATAAAACACTTTAACAGTTTAAAACGTGAAGTATGTTCGTAAAACTTGTTCACAAATTATTTTTAACTACGGCCCGACATTTCAAAAGGAACAATTCAATATATTTCGCGTTTAAAACCGTTTTTTACCGTTATTTAATATGTGTTATGTGTAATATTTTGGAATTTATACATTTTTAAATAGTACCCAAAGTACGCAGGTGATACTTGGGAAAAGCGGGAACTAAAGTGCTAATGCGTATATGATACTTCAAAATAAAACACTAACAGTTATTTGGAAATTATTTTAACTGCAGCCTGAAGTTAAACCGTTTTATGTAAACTATTCGCGTAAACTACAGACAGTATATTTAACTTTTCCAGTTTATCCTCTTCACGACATCGCTGATCTCCGGTCTAAGCATGTGCGTGCTGGCATCCTGGTTCCTGGCGAGAGACTACGAATTATACTTGCCTAACTGGCTGCCCATTGTTACACTGTGCCTTTGCATCTTCTGCGACTCGTCGGGTCTTGCACCCATGTCTCTCGTCATCGCTGGAGAAATATTCTCATTTAAGGTAAAAATAAAGGATTAATAAAGAGTTAGTTTTGGGTTTGATTCTCGTGGAACAGGTTTTTCGCTTGCAATAAATAGAACTGACAGTTTGTACAGTGCAAATTAAGCGAGGGCGACCAGTAAACCCTAAAAAAATAAATATGTTATAAATTAGTTTAATCCATTAAAGTTAATTAACTTTGTTCTTATTACTAAGTCGCAAGACAATCGATCCGATTTGTGGATCCATCTATCTAAAATCGTCGTTCGCTACTTGCGCATTCGTTTTATTGTCTCGAGTGAGGTGGATAGCACGAAGGGTGAAAGAGGGTAAGAGGGTTGAAATACACATGTATGGGACATGTGCGTTAGTTTTTTATTTGTTTTTTCTTCAAGAGAAACAAATAAAAATGGTTGGTTTTCAAGGTTCAGAAAAAAAAAATAAATATAAAAAATTGCAATGACAACTTGTACCGACAGTATTTTATTTTGTACAACTTTGTTTTATGATTCTTTAATAATGACAATTGAAAAGAACTTCCCAAACGTACAGTTTAAAGATGTTTTTATGCTTTCAGTACCGTGGAACAGTAATGGCAGCAACGATGTCAACAGCATCACTTGCTGACTTCTTCCAATTATTAATCTTCAAGCCACTGGCCAACACTATAGGAATACATGCAGCGTTTTACTTCTTCGGGTTCTTCTGTATATTTATGTCGATATACGTAATTTTCTATGTCCCAGAGACGAAGGCAAGATGCTTAGACGACATTTATGATGACCTGAATAAGAGTAAGAAAAAGACTAAAGAAATTCCAGCTGCCTAATAAAAGTACAAATTAAGAACTTGTTTGTTTTATTTAATGTACTTGTCCCAATTCCGATACAGTCGAAAAAGGATTTAAGGCTTTATTTTGATATTCGATTATATTGATATAAACGCCATCTAGATGCTATTTTGTGAAGTACGTTAGTCACGTTAAAATACATATTAGCCAAATAAGACCGTTTTAAAAACTGAAGAGTTGGTGCTCTTAAATTTTGTAAGAGGGCGCTGTTCATCAATAAATTGTCACACAGTTACGTCATTTGGTTTTACTGATGTATTGCATAAAAGCTCTCAAAAATAACAATATTAAATAATATTATGGGCAGTAAGTATATGAAAAAAACCATTCTAAGGATTTTGGAATCTGGAGTTGTAAGAAATACGCATTTTTAATTATTAAAAAAGGCTTGTATTTTACATTAATTTTGCTAATCTCGAACACTTTGAAATCCTGCCATTACAAGACATAATGGCTAACTGTATAATAAAGGTTCTATCGTCCTTTCAAGTGTATGCAAAAAGGCTTGAGCGCAGAGCTCTCAAATGTTACAAAGGCTAATGCATTTCCTCTCGGAGAATGTGAGGAAATGCCACGCGATATTCTAACCACAACTTCCTCAATCTGTAATGAACTTCCGGTACTTATTTCTAAGGGATTTCAAAAAAGCGGATATGTATAAATATAAATACTCTACGTATAAATTGTCTATAAAATAATGTAATATAATTTGTTTTTAATTTGGTTATCAACGGTACACTATTAAGTCTGGACGAAATAATGTTTTCCTAAATTTTGAAACTAGGACGTTCTACACTTAACGCATTGCTATTGGAGTGTTATCGTAAACGCGGATCTAACACCTTGTAAAGCAATTATCTATACTGTACTAATATTTGAAGCTTAAGAATTTGTTTGTTTGAACGCATTAATGTCAGAAACTACTGCCGCGTATTTATTTTTTTGTATTGGTTAGAACGTTTATTGGGTGGCTTAAGGCTATAAAACATTACGCTGCGACTAATAGTGGGAAATGTTGAAAAAAACGGGGAAAATAATTAATTTTTGAAGGTTTCTCTTGAGTGTCCATATTTTACAAACAATAAGGGAGTTTGATTAAGAAAACATTTACAGTTTGAAAATCTATGTCAAAAATCTCAAGACTCAAAGCTATAACAAAGTGTTAGCCATTACTAACTTAGCTAGCATAAAATAAAACAGATTTTCAATTTATACAAAAATATCAGAAACAACAATATGTGAAAGTAATATGTTTAAATATAACACTTTAACGGTTTAAAACGCGATATATATTAGTTTACTTAATGAAAAATATTTTTGCTATATATAACAAACCAACAAACAAACAAAAAAATACTTTATTGCGTATATCGCGTTTTAAAGCAATAAAGTGTTTTATTTAAATGTGTACTACTCACATAAACTACAGATAGTGCTAAAAATATAATAAGTATATGAAATACCATTCCAGCTAACTTTAAGTATTGTCTATCTTTAATATTAAGCTCTGTATTTTTCAATATTTACAAAAGCACAGCACTCTATACGAAGAATAGTCGGGGCACACTTGCCAAATGGACTCCCCAACCGAATTTATGTTTTGTCCCAACGACACCCGGTCATACTTGGCTATTAAAAGCCACTTTAACGGTCAAATATATTTCGCTTTTGTTCGTCGACCCGTAAAATATCCAATATTCGATGTCTTAAAATGTTTATATCGCTAGATAATGTAATGGGTAAAGTGATCCTATAAGCCACACGGTGTTTAGAAGAATGAAATGTGCACGTTTCTGTGTCTTTATGCACTTTTGTGCCCTGCCCGAACAGATTTTTTATGTTTTCTTAGGACTGCTAAAAAGCCATTCGAAACGTCGGGTCAAATTTTAAGTAAAATGGTCTCAAATTGTTTAAAGTGTCTTATTGATACATACTTCATCAAGTCGGCTTTATTCTATTTTATACGAAAATACTCTATTTGAACAGAAACGATCAATTCTAATGTAAATAATATTCAGTATCAGTATGTTGTATAAGTTGTTACATGATCATGATGATGTAAGATAGTATGTTTTAATTACTGTCTATAGTTTACGCGAGTAGTACACATTTAAATAAAACACTTTAACGGGTAAAACGCGATATATTAGTTAAACTTATTTGAAAATGATTTTTATGCCCGGGCCCGACGCTGTTGCAAAGCGTCCGAAACGTCGGGCCGAAGTTAAAAATAATTTTCAAACAAGTTTAACTGAAATGTATCTCGTTTTAAACCGTCAAAGAGTTTTATTTAAATTTCTTCTTTTATTAGTGTCACAGGCAGTTACAATATTATACATAGAAGTAGTTATACTTACCTAAAGATCAGATATATCAGTGTCACACTTACAGACCATATATTACCATATAGTTATCAATAACTCGAAGTTCTCACGTCATACAATTTCGTTGCGATTTCATATTCAACCACTTGCGACTTCAGCTCTGAGGCTTATAACTCGGCTACAACTCGTCGTACGTGCCTTGAAAACTTATTTGATTTATGCGTTGCGGTACGACTGTAAAAAGGTTATAAGATCAATACTGCGCGCTCTGTTGGACTTGTCTCTTAACAGCGTAGGCGTTTCGATTTTCAAATTTATGTTCCCACTCTATTTTTTGAAAACATTTAAAATAAAGGGAGACAGACAACCGTGAAGTTTAACAAACTGAACCAAACACTGCCGAGATATTTTGGCTTTGGATATTCGGAAATACACATACTGAAAGCGAAATGCGATTAAGCTTGACGGCTTTTTTCATTGCGGTTCGTGTTCGGACGGTAGTTAGATATTCCTATCGCCCTTTAAATAATCCGGTTTTCCAGACGAAGACGACGACATGTTCGTTACTGGTCGCTTACATTTTTTTCGAACATTAAGGAGTCATCTATTACACATATTTTTTCGTTTTTTGAACCGATGTCGAAGCTCACACAATGGAAGCGCTTTGAGATGATTAATTTTTCCCAATTTTTAATTTTCCACTGCTTCAAGATTTTTCAATATCGTACCAGTGGTTTCTGAGATCAGCACATATAAACAAACAAACTCTACTGCTTTATAATATTAGTGTAGATTTGTTAGTACAAGATAAAATATATTGAGACCGTTTTTATTTTAAGAACGGAAAGGTAACTATTATATATACAAAATGTATAACACTTATATTAGTATAATTCAATGCAATTTTAATTGGAAAAAATCAATTGCGGAATAGATTGTTTGAAATACCGTCCAGGGTTTTATAAAATATTTCTTAAAGAAATCGTTGCAGTTCGCTGATTGCTCAGCGAACTGCAATTTTTATCATTTTTAATTTTAACTCCCGTCGGAATAAGAAAAAGGAGTGCGCTAATGGATTTTCTAGTCAAGATTGGAGTTCGATATTATGCTAATCACGGTCGGAACGATTGTCGTTCACAGTTTCAATTGTAGAGTTAAAAAAAAATCACTCAAGTCGTGCCCGAGTCGAAATTTTTTTCAATTTATTTTCGATTTTCAAATTATATAGTGCCTCATGTTAAATGTAAAAAAAAAAGTTTTCATACATCAATTTTACTGTTTCATTATTACATGACATTATTATTTTTGTATCTAAACAATTCAAGAAACCAATGGATAAAAGAATATTTTTTTCTTTAAGCGATATAAAAATTTCTGTAACAGTATATGTATATCTTTTAAGATTAACTTTCTAGAATCGTTATAGTCACCATATTTTGATGAGGTTAATTCATTATTACCAATAATATACCATTAATATAAGAAGCCTTATTTTTCTCTTTCAATATTTTATCACTTTCTCATACATTTTCACACTAGGGTTTCACAAAGCCGACTAGAACATCAAAATCCCAAATAAGACGGTCGTTGTTACCCTCACCACAGCCCTTACCTTTAATCTCACTTCTATTTAAAGTTTTAAGCTCCTTTCTCCATACAAGATATTTTGGGGTACGTATTTACACTTGCGAACTACTTGCGTTTAAATAAGGTACTCTACCTTCGCCCTTAAGCACAGGGCCGAACTTAAACTAAAGTATTACAAAATGTCTATGATAAGTTTATATATTGATAAAAATATAGAATATTTATATATGAGTTAGCTTTATAGAGTTTTGTGATTAAGCTACAGTTTTTGCTGTAAATACTGTAGTTTACGCCAAATACCAAATACGACGAAATAGATGGCGCTAGTGTAGCAGTTAACATTTAACATTAGAGACACCCTCCATATTTAGTTTCTTCGTGACCTACCTACCTAACTACCTATACAAAATTTCTTTACATTCGACTACCGCTATTAAATAAATTAAATTTTAACCACGATGAGAGTAAAAGTAAAGTAGCTTACCCTTTTGAATAAAGTGAGAAAAAAAGGATATTAAGTAATAGTCACTTAATTGTGGCTTGAAATCCGCGACTGGTCGTCGTAAATCTCTTATCCCGTGCAAATACGTGGAAGGTACGTGTTGACTTACAAATGGACTCTCTATTTACCCGTTACTTGTATCGCGAGGATCTGTTGATTTCTATAATATTTAAATACTCTTATTTACTCTTAAAAACGTATAAAGCTTAGCCGACCCACGACTTTGTCTTTTATTTGGTACAATTAACTGCGTAACATTGTCGTTTTGTGTTATTTAAAAGTGAGTTCCCCTCCCTGTATGATATTGGGTGAACAATTTTAGACGGTATCACTGATCGATTTTATTTACAGATTAGCCCGGCTATTTATTGTTTTTCCGGGGTAAAAACCAAGACCTCTCATGCTTAATACACTTCTAGGCAACATTATTGGGCTATGTAGCCAGCATGGGGTATTAAGATCTATAAAATGTGATAAACATTGTAAAAAATTTGCTTAAAACTTTCTGAAGTATTGTTAAACCAGAAATCAAAAGTAACGAATCTGGTTGAAACTTGCACCCAAAC